AACCCTTAAAACCCTCCAAACCCTTCAAAACCGTAAAACCCTTAAAACGTTGCCTTGGCATGCTTCATCCTGCAGCCAACAGCCACCCCGCGCCACACATCAATGGCTTCTTATGGCCACTCTTGCAGCCATCCGGTTCTTATGGCCACTCTTGCAGGCAACAGGCACCCCAGCCAACATGCACCCCAGGGCCACACATCAATGGCTTCTTATGCGCGTCCAAGTCTGCCCTTTGCCAGCCCTAAAACCCTCCAAACGGTCAAACCCATCTTGCAGCCATCAAGCCACATCAATAGCTTCTTATGGCCACTCTTGCAGGCAACAGGCACCCCAGCCAACATGCACCCCAGGGCCACACATCAATGGTTTCTTATGGGCGTCCAAGTCTGCCCTTTGCTTCTTATGGGCGTCCAAGTCTGCCGTTTGCCAGCCCTAAAACCCTCCAAACCCTTAAAACGCTCCAAACCCTCCAAACCCTTAAAACCCTCCAAACCCTTAAAAACCGTAAAACCCTTAAAACGTTGACTTGGCATGCTTCATCCTGCAGCCAGCAGCCACCCCGCGCCACACATCAATGGCTTCTTATGGCCACTCTTGCAGCCAACCGGCACCCCAGGGCCACACATCAATGGCTTCTTATGAGCGTCCAAGTCTGCCGTTTGCCAGCCCTAAAGCCCTCCAAACCCTTAAAACGCTCCAAACCCTCCAAACTCTTAAAACCCTCCAAACCCTTCAAAACCGTAAAACCCTTAAAACGTTGACTTGGCATGCTTCATCCTGCAGCCAACAGCCACCCCGCGCTACACATCAATGGCTTCTTATGGCCACTCTTGCAGCCAACCGGCACCCCAGGGCCACACATCAATGGCTTCTTATGGGCGTCCAAGTCTGCCTTTTGCCAGCCCTAAAACCCTCCAAACCCTTAAAACCCTCCACCTTAAAACGCTCCAAAACCCTCCAAATGTTTAGGCCTAGCCGTTTGCTGGGCTTCTTGATTGGCTCTATGTCTGCGCACTTCTTCCTCCACCCTTGAAACGGGGTCGGCGGCACCAGGGCGTTAGCCCATTTATATATGTCCATCCATTTCCCGGTTGCCCCCTCTTTCCTCCAATTTCTCTGGCCAGAATACGGGACATAAAAGAAAACAAACAGTTTGGGCTTGGGGATGTTTTGGACGTGCACAGGATGCATTTTGGAGGAATCAATTGGTCTATCCCAGGCCTGTGCACTTGCTGTTCCACTCGAGCAACAAGGGCCACTTCAATGCTTCCCTGGAGTGACTTCGAGGCAGGCTTAAACATTTCAATAATTTCAGTTACAATGCAAATGTGGAATGGATCAACGGGAGATTCATGATATTCTAGGGTCGAACTCCGACTTGTCTGGGTTCCAACACTTTGTTTGAAACTGCTTTCACCTCTGACTTGTGACAAACATTCATAAATTACACCTTTCAGAGTGAGGTCGCTCAAAACCACCAACCAACCAATTGCTGACCGCAAGATCTAGGATCCAACCACCACACCTCTGCAGTGAAGCTTTGCGGCACAAGCCTCAAGCGATCCCAAGCGGCTCTGAGCTGCTTCGGCCCCCACGACAGTCTGAGGCTCCGCACTCCAGTGTTGCCAGAGGACTTGAAGTGGTTTCAAGGGTGTCTGCCTGCGACTCAAAAGTCACAAGCAGCACAGCACTCTTATCTCCAGGGGTTCTTTCTTGGACATGTGGTCATAGTTCTGAGGAAAAAAATGAAAACATTGTATCATAAATGGACAACTGATATCTAGAATATTTATGAATATCTATGAATATCTATGAATATATAATATCTGGTGCATCCATGGCCACATGTGTACCGGTTGTAAGTCTTTTGTTGCCGGCTGCAACCCCTGGTGTGCTGCCGGATTTACCCCAGTTCCAAGGTGCCTGCTCTCCTGTCATGGCTCTCCGCTCGATCTCTGATGGTCGCCTTGACGACCATAGCGCAATGTGGCACCAGCGATGCAGGACGTCCTCCGTTTTCTCTGGTTTTCTGCCAGTTTTTGCCAACAGCAATGGCATCAATCACTTGGTTCTCAGGCAAAACCTATGAAACCATACTGGTCAAACATGCGCGATTCCTGTATACTACCTCATGCCAACCCAATTCTTGGAATCAATGTTGAACTGCTAAACTTGAAAACTACTATTGGCTTGCCATTGGCCAGGCACTACCAAAAGGCACCCCTAAGTCGGTCCCGCAGCAAGCTATCACCGCCCATCACATGCTTTAGCCCCTGGATGGCCGGCCTTGGTGATCGGATTGCACACAGTGCTCCAATTGTTGAGGACCTTTTCTGGATGGGGTGAGACACACGCGCACTGACACAGTATAAAATACACACACACACATATATATATATATATATTTATATATATATTTATATATATATATGTATATTTATATATATATATATATATGCTTAGATCTATATATTGTTTATATTGATATGTATACATGAAATGATATATATATATATATACACACGTGTGAGTGTGTATCTATGAGTGAATTGAGATAATCATCTGATGCAGGATGGAAAACGTTACACAACATAAGAAAACAAAAAAAAAGGACATAAGGACACCACCAACCAATCAACCAGTCCTCCACAGAAAATCTAAATCTCTGAGTCCCGTCCCCTTCCAAGTGCCCCCCGCGAAAGCTGCCCACGCCGGACTTCAAGGCGCAAGACTTTTAGCTGCTCCCGTTTCTGCAGGAGCGAGGCCTGGGAAAGGTGGGGACCACTGCCGAAAGGGGATGTGATTCATATGATGATATAATGGGCTGTCATGGAATGTATGATCAACAAGATCAACTGTCAACAATATGGACCCCCTCTCTCTCTCTCTCTGGCATTTTGCCGCACTTTTGAGCTTGAACCCCCAAACATGTTTGTTAGGCTCATGCTTCATGATGTTACTGAGTTTCTTCTAAGGTCTCACACATAGACCAAACGAACAAAAACAACATACTAAAGTCATGTCCATAACATGGCTATGCATCCCAAGAACCCATGGCATGGCTATGAGTCCCAAAACCCCGGGTGCCAAAATGGGATGTTCACACCCGAATAGCTGGTGAATAGATGTTCATCCCCCCTAACTCACCTGAGCCAGCTTCAGGGATGCTGATGCTGCGTCTCCACCTTGGAGAACCTCCTGGGTCAGCGGCCATGAACTGGTCAAATATTGGAGATGGTGATCCAACAGCAACCTTTGTTGGGGACAGCACCAAAGATCCTCAAACTTGTCTATGGTACTTGGAGCATTTCACGTTCATCTTCATTCATCCAGTTTCAAGCCATTACAAGCAGAACATGGGCATTGTCCAACTCCGAGATGACAAATTAGTATAACAACAAGAATAACGACAAGACAAACTGACCATTGCCCACCCGCACATGACTTGCAATCGAAGTCTTCGTGAAATTCCACTCAATACCAACAATTGCATCAACGAAGGGCTATGGCCAACCCTATAGTCCCTGTATATCATGATATATCATAAGTACCCTCCGGTAATCAAACGTGACAATCGAAGATCCCACATTAAAAAGTTATTTTCCCATATTTAAACTCGCATTTATAGACAATTTCCTAATTCAACATTGAGTTCCATGATTTTCCCATGAAATCCTCCATTTGTACCATGATTTTCCCCGTAAATCCATGTAAATCCTGCATTTCAAGAGGATTTTCCCACGTTTTCCCACAGGGTCCATGGCGCTTTCGCCAGAACTCACCGCTTCCGACCCCGGGTTTTCCGGGTGCCCCGAGCCCGTCGCGCTTGGCGCCAGGCCAACGCTTCGGCGTCGGCCTTGCGGATGGCCTCACTCGCCTCGCCGAATGGGTGGAAGCCATGGTATGCCAATGGGATAACAATCATTGATATAACAATATATAATATATAATATTATATAATAGCTAAATAGCTATAGATATAATAGCCAATCATTGGGATAACAATATATATAATAGCTATAGATAGCTATAGTAGATGCTATACCTATATATATATATATTATATATAGTTATATAATCTTATATAGATGTATGTATAAAGGATGATATTGGAATGATTATAGTAATTGGGGTTCTGGGTGTACCGAAGGTATACCCATGGGATGCTATGGCGATGGGATAATGATTGTCATTGGGATTACCCTCTGGTAATGGCTGACATAGCTATTGAACATAGTAGGCCCATTGAAATAGTGAGTTTTCCCATTAAAAAAATGGTGATGTTCCATATATTATATAGTTAGTTATGTTAGTTTACCAGAGGGTGCACGATTTGGATGATATTTTTTTGAATACCATTGGTAAACGAACATCCCTGTTGTTACTAGACACGGTTGGTATAACAATAATGGGAATGACAGTTATATATTGTGGGCTAATGGTTATTGTCAGAGTCATAGTATTTAAGGTATTAATATATCATCCCAATTTCCTTGGCAAATTTACCGGCAAATTGCCAATTCAATAAACATGTTGTTGGTAAACTGATTAAATTGGGATTCACCAATTTATTGGGATAATAACTGGGATACGTAGGATGATAATCAATAATATATTATCGCAATTTCCTTGGCAAATTTACTCAATGAAGCAAGGCGGGAGAATTGGCCTCGTAAGCCCTTTTTTTTCCGCAATTTTTACCCAAGTATCTCAATTTCACCTTGCCCATTTGAAGTGAAACCTGGTAAAACTATATCAGGTATTGTTTGATGATCCAGGATTATTCATGTACATTCTATGGTCCATGGTTGTGCCATGATAATCCATCTGCGCCATCATTTTCATGTTCCTCTCGAGTCATGAGTGGAATCATGTGCCACATTGTGCAATCATGTGCGCTGGGTCCTTTCAAATTTTCAAAATTCAGGTGTGTATATATATATATATAATTATATATATATATTCAGATGATGCTCCAAATGCGGGGTCTGGATCCCCTGTATTATCTATAGTTCAATCATGTTCTAGCATGATTGACGGCACTTCTTTCTGACAATTTTTGTGTGTCCCCGCCTTGTGTAGCTGTAGTCGCATGGCATCGCCTGACAAAACTGATAGTAATCCATTTCCACTCTGACAGTTGGAGGCAGTTTTAACCTGATTCAACAGGTGTACTGTTAGTAGAGCAATAATAAACGTCCCAAACCTACCATAAATAGGCAGTACAAAGCATGAGAATATGGGTAGTTTACTATTGCTTCACTAACATTAATCAACAAAGCTTCACCTTCACCATTCCTTGCCCCAAGGAGATTTTTCCGCTGGGAATGCAACAGCTCAACCACGGATCGATAGCTTCCAAGCGGAGCACATCACTAACGAAGGGTGGCTTCCCAGCGCAGGCAGTTGCAGTTGCAGCAGAATTTAAGTTTAGCGATTCTTCTATGGCATGGTCTGAGCCTAGATACACCTCCCAAAATGGACATTGCAATATATTGTAGATAAGATTCGGGGAAGTATATGTTGTTTTCCCAATATGATTTGACGATGTTCTGACATGACTTGGCTGAAAACTGCTGCAAGCACCAAACCGCTTTGCCAAGTGCCCACCAGGATAGCTACAACTGAAGCAGAGCCGCCAGGGAAATTGATACCTTGACAGATCTTGACAGATATAAATATGGACCATTTAAAAAACATTTTGGGAGTGACGAGACGGAGGCTCTAGTCCAAGCCCTGCGAGCTTGGAAGATCTTGGAATTGCAGGCACAACTGGAGGTGGCACCTGCTATGGCACTGCCAATGTCACCTTCTTGGAATCCCATGGATTCTGCGGTGTCATTGGAGAGACCGGCGCGCCGTTGTCCCTCAAACCGTGGATGCCACCATGATGGCCGTGATCGCCTGGCAGCGAGATTACAGCGTCCGTGACTGAGAGGGGAATAAAACTTGAAACCACCTGTTCCAGAATTGGGGTTTGCTTCATGAAAGTTTCATAACATTTACATATAATTACATATATATACAATATATAATATATATATATATATAAATTGTGTTATGTGCACACATATAGATAATTATATATATATATATTATATGCAATATAAAAAATATAAATAATGTAAACTACAACAAATCCTGAACATATAGTACTGTTGCCGGATTCTTGATGGTGAAAAACACTGGTTTCCTGTAACTGTTCCCTGAAACCGACCCAATGGATCTGGTTGGTTCCGTTGCAAGACGCTGCACCTGAGCTCCCATGACTTGACGACTTGGCTTGGAAGTTGCTGGGGCCCACGTAGTGAGGCCTCAGCAATGACTTTGGAAATGGGTGGCCATGAGTCTAGGAGATATGGATCAATATGGATCAATATGGATCAATATGGATTAATATGGATTAATATGGATTAATATGGATCAATGTTGCCATTCATCACCATGTCACATCTATGAGACACTTCCATAAATCAAAGTGTTTGCTGGTTCTAGAGCCCTTGCGCAGCTTGATCCGCACCTTTTGATACCCTGGTGCCCTGAGCTTGGAACACGTGCAAACGCAGGAAGCCTAAGCTGTTGGGTGCTGGACCCAGGCTCATTCCGTGATTTAAATTTGGGACTGCAGCAGCCAGTATAGTCCAACATTCGATGGTCAAGTTTGGTATACTGCAAAAACATTAATATTGCATCTATATTAATTGTTTAGTGCATTCCTTTGTGTGATTGTGTGCTCTCTAGTCATGAAGCCTTGTGCAGGGCACTTGGAGGAGCAACCTTGCAAGTCAAAGTTGCGGTGTTTTGCAGTTCCTGTCCGCGCCCTCCATGCAGTTCTTGTTGCTTGGTCTAGTCCCATGTGTCTTGAACTTAAACCACACACACACACAGACACACACACACACGTACTTTTTCAAATCTCACCCAAAAAGTCTTGAAACAAAAATCCCGGAAATCTTGAGAACTGGTGAAAATCCATAGAACATCTCAAAACAATAAGATTTCCATGGTGAAAATCCATAGAGCATCAACAAAAATAGCCACCAACATCTCCAAATCAGAAACCGAGCCGCAGTTCTCATCCGATGCTCCCAGGGATTTTTCCTTCTCATCTGCCAAGGCCGCAGCCTCCTTCAATCTCTCCACCATGCCTTGGAAAGGAGGCAACGCATACCATGGGAAAACTTTCTGGGAAAACGTTGGGAAAATCCATCGAAAAACAACATTAATATGTGATATATATTGATAATCCATGGTTGAGTCTGTTACAGTATATCCAGTGCAGTTGAAAGTTTCACATACTGACAATTTTCTGACATATATAATACATATATACTGATGTAGTGAATATGAAAGAGTGCCATCGAGCTGCTTGCTTCGCCGCGACCTGCCACGGCAGGTCGTCTTTAAAACAAACTCGATGAGTTGTTATAAAGGAAAATCTAGAGGAAATTGTGCTTTTAGCACACATTATATTGGGTTTCCGGCAGATGTTCCCGTAAAGAACAATCATAGGATATTCTAGGATCATTGGGACTCAAGTGATTCATGTAAGTGATTCAAGTCAAATCCGCCACCTACAAGTTGTTAGCGCGCACAAAGTGCTCGGTGTCTCTCTTAAGGCTTAAGCATAGACGTCGTTTATTCCTGTGATATCATGATTATCATGTCCGTGGCGTCTCTATGCATCTCAGCGCCTAATGATACACTCCAACATGGTCACAATCGACCCATACTGTCAAACAACTCCATACACATTCCCGTCATGGAAACGCGATGAAACGCGCCTTTGATGCGGTCTATGGACAAGGGTCGGTTTAGACCCGCTTTCTGCAGGTTGGGCTGAGACACTACTCCTCAGTTTGGGAAGAATCATGGCCATGGTCAGCGTTGCAATGCCAAGTCAGCCGCAAGCCAGGCTTCAATTTTTGACAGGACCTGCGTCTTGAACATGCTTGAATCGTTGACTGAACGTGAGTAATAAATATTAAACCAATGATAATCATAATATGCTCTTAAAATCCTAAATAACCCCATGTTAAACCAATGATAATAAATCTTCAATATGATTGTAGGAATCCTCTCATCCTGACGATTTTTTTCATATGGGTGGAATATGGGTGGAACGACATGACCTGCAGAGCCAAGCTTCGTTTCATCATTCCGCCATCAGGCTTGCGCTCGTGTTCCTCAGGGCGCCCGTGTCTCCAAATTTTGGCACTTAAAATGATCATTTTTTGGGGGTATGGATGGGTATGGTATGGTACCTCAAGGTATATCCCTTTTCCATGCTTTCCCAGCCAAGCCAAAAGCCAAATGGCTCGGAAACCATCATCCAAGTCACCGATTTGTGCGTCCGTTCGCTTGTGAAAGGACTGCGGGAACTCATTGATGAGGAATCTGCTGGAGTTCGAATCAGCCTCGGCTTGGCTGGCTAAAGTTATCGGATCTTGCAGTGGTCAACGAGAAAAGAGACATTGTCGACTCAATGCCGGCAACTGGCATATTGTGACATTGTATAATATGATATTGTCACTTGTATATGAAGTTTGGATATCTCTAGGCTCTAGCGGCTCTAGCCTTTGAGTATCTGAGTATCTCAGACCTGACTATTTTGAAAATGGCCCGCAATGGCCTGGTAACAAGTCAAGGAGATTGTGAAAATACAATCCGGTTATTTAACACAGCCATGGAAAATCACCATGTTTATATAATAGGTAAACCATCTATAAATGGGCCATTTTCCATGGCTATGTTAAATAACCAGAGAGCAATTGAAAATGCATATCAAAGTTGCTGCTGCTGGAAATTCCGACTGAAGTCACAGAGCATGCGGTAGCGTTCCTTGGATGCCAGAAAGTGCCAGAGGTAGAGTTCACTTCTTTTGGATCATCGTTGTTGCACTTTTCTCCGGTCAGAATTCACGGAAATCATTGAGTGCAGGGAAATGTGGGAGGAAACCATGGTTTGACCATGGTTGTACCAGTGAATATGAGGTTTAGCTGCATTTTTTCCATCAAACGCTTCAGCAAGTTTCGGCATGGCGGCTGTTGAAAAAGCCCCAGCTTGGTGGCTGCAACTTTCCTGACAGAGGTGGACAAAACTATACAAAACGGCTTGCACGGCTGGCGCAGATACAGCAATTTACAGATTTTTACTATGTATTCTAGAGTAGTATGTATTTCTTTACTTTGGGATCTTGTAAATGGATGCAAATTGCGTTCATCGCCAAACATCTTCACCCTATTGGATTTGCAAAGTGTGTTCTGACAGGCAGCTCCTCATGCAGCATGCTCTTCTCTGTCCAAATACGATGCAGGACAGTTGACACATGTGGACACCCAGGCTTAGTCTCAGACCGTCAGCGATTGCCCTGATTTCCGACTCATGCACAATAACGATTCCTCGGCTGGGCGCTCCACTTGCTACGAACCTCCCCCAGAAAGGAGTTACCAGAACACCGGAACATCGATTCATCATAATCTCCCAAGCCATGCCACCATCCGGACTATCACATGTTTATAAAGGCCCCTGAATATTAGCCTTCATCCACTGGCATCGGTGGAAAAGAACCCAACAACCAATGCAGATCAGTATCCGGCTAAGTATACTAAGTATATATATCCCCATTTTGATATTCAATATGTTCGATGGGTTTTGATACATTTACGATTTTATATACCGAACTCCCCAGCGAAATTGCCCACCCTTCCAAAAGGGGTCGGAGGGTGGGCCGTGGCGTTCGCGTCATGTCCGTGAACGTGCAGGTCTCCAAGCTCTGAGAAGTCTGGGAAACCTGGTACGGGCACCGTGGTGGTATCACATGGTATCACCATTTCACATCCAAAATGTCAATAATGTTGGCTGCCTAATAGTAATTACCCCCCCTATTTTTTTTTTTAGGGGGGGGTCAACCTTCCTATAATATTTTTTTGGAATCTATAGCTGGGATCATGATATGTATCTGATAGATTCTCCATGGTTTTGTTGGGTTTCTGATAGATTCTGAATGGATTTGGTTGGGTTTCTGAGAGATTGGCGAAGAGTTGGCAAGGCGGAAGTGGACATGGAAGTGGGGGCAGAGGTGGTGGAGGCGAAGGAGGAGGACGAGGAGGAGAAGGAGGAGAAGAAGGAGAAGAAGGAGAAGGAGAAGGAGGACAACAAAATTGGAGTTGCGGAAAAAAGTTTCCACTATTGCCATGCCTGGTGCAGGTTTGTTATTGCTATTCTGGGGCTTGCAAAGGGGGTACCCTTTGTGGACCTGTTTTCTTGCTTTTTTTAATAAGGGTTTTATAAGGAAATCAGCTGTTTGGTAATTGGATCAAATTTCTGGAATCTAAGCTTTTGCTAATCAAAAGTGAAGGCTGCTTTGAAAAGGATTTGCTTTACTTGACTCTTTTGGCAATACTAAAAGTAAATGGAGCTAATTGACTTTTAGTATTGGAGAAAAAATTGTAGTTGGGAAAAAAGTTTCCACTATTGCCATGTTGGGTCCACTATTGGCCATGCCCTCTGGACAAGGTCTGAACATGACTCTTTTGGCAATACTAAAAGTAAATAGAGCTAATTGACTTTTAGTATTGGAGAAAAATTGGAGTTGCGGAAAAATGTTTCTACTATTACTATTGACAAGATATCACTATTGGTCAAACAACATTAGAATCAATAGAACATGATTTAAGAAGCAAAAATGATTGAAGTTGATTCAAGATGATTTCAACTGGGAAAAGGTGAGTGAAGCTGATCTGAGATGTTAAAAATTACGGTGATTCGAAGTCATTCGCGATAATGATATCGCATGAACACAATGCACATCTTATCAGTGCCAAAAAACATGGTGCGAAGCATCATGGCCCTTCTTCGAAAATGACATTGGAATTTGACCAACACTGCGATAGAGCACTTTTCCTGTAGATTCTTACCCTTGATTTATCTTTTTCCTGAAGGTTGAAACATATGACAAGGTTGAAGAGGAATGAGAATCTTAGTTTCATTTCACCATGCCAACGCCTGCTGCTCGGATGGCAGGTGATTCTCTGCACGGGTTGGTGTCATAATGGTAACACAGTACCTGTCTCACATTTGGGGAGGCTGAACTTGTGAAGGTTTGTGGGAGCACAAACAAGTTCACAACCTGGAAGATCAAATTGCAATCCATTTGAATGTTGGGATTATCAAATTGCAAACCCAAGTTTACAAAACACCTGGAAGTCCAATATCATTGTCTTGATCAGCAACTTCAGCGTCTTGTGTCTCTTTATATATTACTTATTCCCTGGCTGTGGCCCAACACAACATTCTGCCAAGGGCTGTGCTCCGAACGAGTTTATGGCTGCAGAAATCCAGTTTCATTTCAATACTTTGCATCAGAAATGCCTGTTTGAAGATTATCTGCAATATCAACATCAAACCAAATTCAATCAGGACATGTTCAAGAAATCGTCGGCCAAACGGCAGCTGCTTCATTTTATGTCAAGGTGCCAAGTGGACTTGAAAAGGTCTGCACCAGATTGGCCCAAGGCATTCTGGTGCACATATTGGGGACCAAACATTGAACCTCGGGTCTGCTCAATGAGTCGCAGGTAGTCTGTGAGGCAGTCTATGGCCCTCAATTCAACTTGCCATTTTTTCTATAAATTCACCCATTTGAGACACACCCATATGGCCCATAGCATTGGTGATGCATCCTATTGCGTATATTTAATATAGTATATATATAAGTATCTCCATTCTATCCCCATCAAATGGTAGGTTGAATCCCCCAACGGTACAACGTGCCGCGAGGCTCATGGCATTGACTGAGGCCTGCAGGATATGATATCGCTCATTGGGGGGCAACCAGCGCGTGACCAGGCAATTGTGACCTCAAATGCAGGCTACTGTCAGGCAGGGAGGGAAAATTGGGGAGGAACTTAGTGACTGACTACCCCCTGGTAATTTATATGACATTGCCATTGAAAATGGTCCATGTGTAAATTGATTTACATATTAAAGATTGCGATTTTCCATAGCTATGTTAGTTTACCAGAGGTAAGTGGCAATGCTACTTGGGAGTGGCAATCCCTCCAAGATCCTGCAAAATAGGTTCTTTTTCTGCGCTTATTTCTACAAGATGTTACATGTCTCCTTACCTGGATGCTGGCACAAACATAAAAGAAACAACTACCCTAATCTGTTCCATCAAGAGGCATGCATTATGGATTATATCATGCTGCATATATAGTACTTGTGAAAAACTGCCAATAATACTAAGTATACAGTAGCATTAAATTATACTAGTAAGTAATAGTATTAATACATATTATAATAATCTAGATTGAGCGAGTACTGTATGTGTATGTGGAGTCTGTGTAGAGGAATTCAAAAGCATGCGGAGCCAATCGCCTTAGACACACAATTCACACCGTCCTTGCTGACTATTTGCATCGCTTCATTGCTAGCCTGCTGGCATCTTGCAACCAAAGCGCTCTGCTCATGGCAATGTTGCGCTGCATTTGTCAGAATGCCCAGCAAATGCTCATTCTTGGCCAAGAGCTTCTTTGCTGAAACCTCTCAAAGCCCGCCGGAAGCAAAGTTTGTTGTGACAACACCATATCTTCTGAAGCGTCCTTTACCAACAACTTCTGCACAACGTCGCTCACAGAAGGATACAATTCCGGGACGTTCCTTGATTAAACCAGATTGAAACCAAGACTCATTGAATCAGAATCTGACCCAGTAGGTAAGCACAATGTGTGTATGTTCGAAATATAGATGTGGCTATAATTACTCTCATTGACAGCTGCACCTGAAAGAGCGTTCTCTTCTCAACACGACCAAGGTTGAGAAGATTCTCAGCAGTGAGTAGGCACCCTGCACAAGAAAGAGCTCAAAGATATTCTTCATGGTCAGCTGCCAAAATGTCCTCTCTATAAACTCTATATACATCGAATCATATCATCCATTGTAGCTCTTCAAATCTGGAAGGTCGAGTCGGGCAACGAAAAGCAACTCACATCCGCTGATCCTTTTGCCCACCGGCCTTGGACCAAGTCCTAAAGAACAGATTTCAAGGAAAATTGAGGGGAAAAAATGAGTTTTTTTTCCATGTGTTTCCCCGATGTTTTTCACCCAGTCATCCAGAAACGAAGGCCCTTTGATCCAATTCTGGGACTTACGGAATCTCTGGAAAAAAACATGTTGCCATCGGAAAATGAGAGTGAGGATGTACTGAATCCCCAATGATGTGAATTATGGTGGTTCTAATTCCAGGTGATTCATATCGGTAGTCAAATGCTCAGTCAATTCATCAAAAGCCTGATCCGCAGCATCAAGTGGTCATATGTGATCCCTGGTTTTAGCATGTCTTGGCAAACCTTCTTAGGCACAAATATCGCAAGTCATCCAGCCCAAGGATGGTGTAAGCAATGGGATGCAATGGGTTAGGGCTGGCTGTTTAGGGATTATTTCTTTATCCAACCTCGATCAACATCAAATAACATTAACCTGTTTCAAGCCGGGCTTGGACGTTACTGTACAAGCACAACCAGTGCAACAGGTTGTGTGGATTACCCCACAATCCCTTTGTCTTGTTACCCCAAATCCCTACTTTGTTTCTCATCCTTTTCTTAAAGTATCATGTTCCCGCCAGAAAAATGGCAAGATCTGTATCTCAACTTTTTGGCAAAGGCATCTATGGAAATTTGATGAACATTAAATTCGTTCAATGGAAAAAACACTGGAAATCATCTGCAAAAAAACTGAGGGTCCTTCATCCACTTCATCCCATACCCTCGGGTTGCTATGCTTCAAGGCACGAGCTCCAGCTCATCCTCTGGGTTCAAGACCTGCCTTTTGGAGTGCACGTGCCGTCGCCACCTGATCAAACAGCGGTAGAGAGCATGCAAAACACGGGAAACTCAAACACCGATTTTCTATGATTTTCTATCATGTCCCATGATTTTGCAAATGACTTTCAAAGATGTTCTGATCTTTTTGATGTGTTACATGTTTTAAACACTAGTTAGAAGGGTCGAAATCACTCAAATTGACATGTGTCAAAATATTCCATCTTGGACCAAGTCCATACTTCTCACAAATTGTATTGGGTTGTGAGGTGCTTAGAAAATTTAGAAACAAAGTTATAATGTATAAGATTGTATAAGTATAAGATAGTATAAGTAGTTAATAGTAGTTATAAATTACATGTACATGATAGTAACAAAAAACATGTTTAACGTTCTGTCAGTTATTGTGCTTGCATCAACTCTCGCACCAGGCCTGGCCCACAAAGACACCAAGTACTGCGCAAGAAGATTGGTCAGGAAATGTCAGGAACAGCCAAGGGCATCAAACATTAGATGTCATTAGAGATGCACAAAATCACACAGTACAACCCTTGCAGGTGATCTTCCACATCAAAGTCTGGGTCTCTATAGGACTGCCATTTCCGGCAGAATCAACTTGGAGCTCGGGCCATGTCGGGCCGTTCAACATATGTTCAATATTGAAGCAACCGGCTCCTCGAGCAGCCGCAACACCAGCAGCACTGAAGCAGGATTGCGCCAGAAACGGCGGAGGACCTGGATTTCGAACCACACAACACAACAAAATGAACATCAATGAACCACAATGAACCACAATCATCCACAATCCATGCCATAAAGAGTCCTCCAATTTTGCGGCTTGGTCTTTAGATGTCTTTAGTTACTTTAGTCTTAGTGTCTTCAGCTAGGAGCTAGCCGCAGCTAACATGGATGGACATGGTCCCGCGTTCCCCGCCTGCAACGCTGCCTAAGTTGGGTCGCTGTGGCCGGTCAATGGTCGGGCACTTTTTGGCATCACACTTGGTCCACCCAGACTTTTGGTGACACATGGTGACACTGTTCAGTGGGAAGACCTCACACCTGGTCTGACCAATGCGTTGGTCACGGGCCCACAGTGAGCAAACATACTGGGAAAACATGAGAAACCACGATGAGAAAAACAGTTGATCTGCACCTGGCCCAAGAATTGATCACACTGCCCATACCAATACCAAACGCATTGTCATAAATCATATAAATCCCCTTTGTCTATGCCAAGAACACACACGAATCAGCAATCTTTGCTGGCTGAACTATGGTCTGTTCATCCAAGATGCTCCTGAAGTGAGAAATTTGCCCAGGCCGGCCATGTCTATCGGCACATGAGCGAGGTGTCCCTCCACAGTTCTTTCAGGAATGTAGCTTGACCAGGTTTGACCTTGCTATCCTTCACCTTGATTTACCTCTGGTAGGACTTGAATGGATTTGAGAACTTCAATGTAAGCATGTGCGGAAACTCTTCAAAAGGCAGCCAACAAAAACGCATCTTGTGGCAGTGAATCTGAATTGAAAGGGACACGTTTATACCGTGGAAATGTCTGTTCATCCTGAAGGCTTACAACTGGCATGGCTGGCCATAATTTCTGATTGAAAACTGGAAAATCTGCAGGTTTGACCAGGGGTGACTCTTAGTTTTTTGACATTCTTTGACGACATAAACATGGTTTAAGCACAGTTTGGTTGGTTTCATCAAGCCGTCAGAAGATCCACTCTGAAATACCAACCATGGCCATCAAACTAGATTCGGAAAATGGCGGCCACGCCTGAGATCTGAATCGTGTCTGCAGTGCTGTGGACTTGGCTTAAAAAAATCGAACCTTCCATTTCAAGCTTCTTCACCTCTTCCTGACCTCAATCTGAGGGCGAGCTTGAACTTACAAAACGAACCAATGACATAAGCTTCCACATCTAATCTAAAGATATCTAAAGCACATTTCCGGGGAAGCAACATGTTTGCAACTCCAGCTTGGACCTGTCGCAATGGGCGGCTTGAGGAGACTGACACTCGACGCATCTTTCTGTTCACATTAGGACTTTCAACACGTCTGGGAAAAATGAACGCCCAAACAACAAACCACATCACGCCTAAGCAAGTCTCGCAGCCGCGACTCACCAGAAGTTGCCTGGCCAACAATGGCCCTTCAACTTGACCTACAAATGATCTACATATTTTCATGACATGGCTCAACAAGCATTAAATATCATCACGTAGTGTTATGGGATGTTATGGGGATCATTGGGGACCTTTACCCAGTCAAAGAGCCTCATTAATTTATGAATTCCTGGCCAAATTGCGCGCGCTCCTAGATGTTTGAAACCACTTCGATTCAGGAGGGTCTACGCATGTTGTAGTCTATAAAGTAAGCCGACCCTAACTTCTGCCCGGCACCGATTCTTTTTGGGCGCTGCACGTCTATCCACTAAGGACACCACACACTTCAAAAGATTCAGTGGGCCGCTAGCTGTGGCCGAGGCGCTAGATCCTACTGCACGAAAAATCGGGCAGTTTTCCAAAACTGGCCTGACTTCCGCACAAAGGCACGGTGCTGTTTACCTTCCATGACAACCTGCGAGTCACTTCTGAGCTCTTCACCAAATCCATAGCCATCCTGCCGGACTGAATCCATGACGACCTGCTTGTCACTTCGGAGTTCCGCACAGGCAAATGGCAGCGCAGAGCCATGTTGTTGGACTGCTTCCAGGCTTAATTTCTTATTGGGTGCCAAGGTTTCTGACGCCTCTGCAGGATCTGGCTTTCCATGGGGCCTGCTCTTTGACAATCTGAGATTCCAGCCAAGAAGAGTGTGTCTTTTGGATACCAGTCATAGAAGGCATACACTTCCCTTGGACCAACAAAATACCTTCTCCGTGCTTGAAGTGGATGTGCGTCCTCCAAGAGTGAGGTTGCTCTGTCAATGTCTTGCTTTCCAGCTCCACCATCGTCAATCAATTTGACCCTGTTGCTGACAAGAATGTTTGCTGGTTTCACATCCGTGTGCCTGCAGCATGAAATGCCTCGGCACAGAACTCATATCTCTTCGTGCAGCTACTGCATGCCTGGTTATGCCACCCACTGTCCAGCAAAGCCTGCGTTGAACACCTGCCCAAGTCCATCATGTAGACTGGGAGGCGGCCATTGGTTGGATCCAAAATGTATCCATGCTGCAAGACTCTGACAATGTTGGGATGGTTCAGTTGAATTTCTCATCTGGGAATGAGATCTTCAGGGCAGGCATATTCAGCATGTGTTTCTTTGTCCCTGGCTCGCCGCACTTGCCCAAAACCATCCAAAACCTCCTTCGCCCAGCGGAACGTCTAACTGCAAATTCCGCTTCAAGCCGCTTGGCTGGTCCAGTTCAAGAACCAAGTCCTTCCAATCCGTTGCCTGTGAAGACGTGCCTTGTGTTGGATCTGGAACCACGTACAATGGAAGGTGCATCTTCAGCAAATGCTTGAAGCATCCCAGGTCACCAAGCTCCAGCAACCCAGTCTCACTGATGTACAGGATCTTGCGGTTGCACCACCCCCTCTTTTCTTGGCGTTCCTGGAGTTTCTTCTGGATGTTTGGCCACTTCACATTTGCGCAAATCTCCGGCCAAGTGTCGAGGGACACCCTCAAACGCTCATGCAACTGGACCTTCAGATCTGCGTTCAGCAAGTGGAGTTCGAAGGTGAGTTGTTTCTTTGGCATGAGGCTGCTCAGGGCACAGTCCAGAAAATGAAGTAGCTACTCCGCTACTTTAGTGGGAGAATGTTTTTCGGTTTTAACAATTTGAGCAATGTCAATGTGTTGGCAGGTGCAGGATGCGTGAACAGTCATGCTACTAGTGGCTTGGGGTCATCATTTAATTACATCTTGACTGATCGGATCCTACCAAAGTTGATTCGAACCGCTTGACGCTTCAAGGTGCGCGCTGCTGGGATGTCAATACGCTTCAAAATCAAATCTGAGATCGTGATTTCAATGTTTTCAGGTCCAAAATTTATCAAGAAAAATGATCACAACATAAACATAACATGTCATATCTTGAAAGTGTACCAAACAACTAGCTTTCACGGCTTTCACACGCTTTTCGTGGCACACTGTGGCCCCACAGCCTTCGGGAAGGCGCATCTGTCAGGGTACTTGGAGGTCAGAAAGTCCCTACCGCAGCCAAAACCAAACAGAACTGATGGAGAGGCGGCATCAATCTGTGCCACAATCTCTCCAATGTGGGAAACCTAATGCCATAAACCTACGTACCATGTAGCCATGGTTTATAGCTACAAATAGTGATCCTGGCGATGGTTTATTGCTTTCAGTATTCATATCGCAAAGTTGTCAATGAAAAGCACCAAGCACTTTTGGTTCTGGGGAGTCCTTCAGGGTTTGTGTGTGTGTGTTGAGTGTTGGCGATATCAATGAGTTCCAGCCTGGCTTGTTGAATTTCTTGTGCACTTGGACGAACCACGCGCACCTCGGAGTCCATACATACCCCTTGCGAGGCTTTCCACGCCTGATGACCTGGCTGCCCCTTGCCAGCGACAGCGACCTCATGTGACCCTCCTTTTTTGCACGATCAATTCCGCTTGTGCACGCAATGGTGGCGCGGGGCAAGAATTCCGCCCAAAATTCATTTGCCACCTTGCTGCAGAAAAAAATGCGGAAAGAAGTAACATCAAGCCCCAAACATTTCAATTCGGGTGCGCCCATGGCGCCCGAAAAATGGAGGATGTTGCTTTGATAAGATCTGACAAGGTGATATGAGGTGGAACCATGGGAAGCCAAGGTTCACCTCTGTGGTCTTTCTGTGCCCAGGCTCCAGGGGGCCAAATATGAGCTTCAACCCGCCACGAGAGGACTGGGTCCAGGCACAAGAAATGTTTAACACATGTTTGGATATATGTTTGAATCAGTTATAATCAAGTCATAATCAATATAATTAGGAACTTGAAGGGAACTTACATCACAATTTGAAGGGAACTTTGCCGTGCATTCTCACAATTTGCTTCAAAAATGCTCCACTGGCCATGACCCTTGAGGTCCAAGGCCCAGGGCGTGCATCCATGGAACCATGGCATCCATGCGGGAAAGCTGAAAGAAACAGGACACATTCGCCAATCATCCTTCTGAACTAGGGAAGCCATGTTGAGATTTCTGGGTACCCTAGTTCTTTAGCCAATCATTGGCCAATCATTAGCCAACCTGCCAAGAAAAGAAACATGCAACAAGTTCTGTGTTTGGCAAGGGCGAGCCAGGATGTGCCATGGTCATAGCATGTGAACCGACAGTGCAACAAGTTCAATGTCGCTCTGAATGTTGTCTTTTGTACAGTTGTGGCTTAAAAGTGTCCATTTCCTGTCAGGGACAAAGCGTGCATAGACGACTGAATGCACGGCCCGGGATTCCTAGCACACAATCCAAGATAAGAACTTGCTTTGGGCTTCTATCTGAACTTGCCATGCTATAGTAGCTATAGCATTGGGCCGCGCAGACTGCATCCTATTAGCATAGCCTGTTCTGAAAAAAATGACATGCCCCCCACACTGGCAAGGCATCATTCGGCAGGTGCAACTGCAAAGGGTTGGTAGTGAATTTGTCAACGTGCAATGGCAGCCTTAGTTCCAAGCGCTTTTTGCATAGCTTCTGTGGCTTCTTTAAATTCTGAATCTGTTGAATAAGCACGCACCAAATGGCACCAATTTCAGACTGGAGGCGTTTGTCTTGATGTGCCTGAAGTTGGAATTGTCAAAAACGGCCTGGCAAAGATGGGGCTAAATGTGGAGTCGGTGTGTCAATGTGCAGGTTGATGCAGCCAGGTCATGAGCACTTGATTCAAGACATGCCCATTTTAAAGATGTCCATCCAAATGAAAAAAATAGGAGATAAATGCGATATAATGAAGTGAACAATACTATACATATATTTGTAATTATATACATCCGACTTGCTGCTCCTTTGCTATTCCTATGCACTAACATCTGCCTGAACAGAGGTACGACGATCTCCTTTCAATGCTTGAAGCACTTCCTCAAAAAGAACCTCACAGAAGGGCTCTGACTCTGTGGTGCCCGCGGATGACTCACAGTATGGCACAAATATGGCGAAAAGGTACCAGTCAAACCAGGAACTGTCGAGGATGCTGACATATGCTGCCTAGCTCTTGATATTGAATTTGCCATGCAACTTTGGTCTCACCAACACCTGCGGACTGACTTGTCCAGTGGCTGTCAGTACCCTGGTATATTAGGAATGGGAACCAAATTCCAACTTTTAGCTGCCGTTATCTGCCATTCCAATGACCCAAAGTTACTGCTCAGAAAAACAGCGGTTCAACGTGTCCCTGTGTCCACACCAACCCGCAGGGTCCGTCCTCCAGCTTTGTTTCAACACCTTGGTTGTTTTCTCATGAAATGAACTGGAACAGAACACACTCACATGGCAATCATGGCAAGCACTCAAATTCATCCTCTGTGCTATCCAAAGAACGCCAAATATCCAATGCTTTGGCGCCACCCCGGAGTCTTGCTGCACCATCAATGAACTCCAAAAGAGTTATTTGCCCATCTCCATTGTCCTTCCGATGTCAATGCAGCAACATGCAGCAACGTGGCAAACAAATGGTGCCAAATATCATATCGCCCCATGCAATTTCAGAGTTCGTCAGGTCTAATGATTTTATTGAGGAACAAGTTGAAGGAGTAGTCAACCAATCGAAGTTCTACCAAGACACCAGGAATTCGAAGAGGCTGAGCAAGTCGTGGTACCTTTGCAGCTGGTCACCAACAGCTGGCCAGCCATTGAGACCCTGTTTCAAACGTCTCATGTGCATCAGTTCGTGCCAATGCTCAGCGGCTCGTGCCAAGGTGCTCAAGTTCCAACTGTGACATCCAAAATTTCAGCTTCGGAGAAGACACCAGCTTGGAAAACCTGGGCTCATGGACCACTTGGATCTTGGGAAAACGTGGAGAAATGTGGTGAAGCTTGGGAATAAAGGGCACCCAACTCTGGGACTTTTGAGACAAAAGAGGTGACAACTATGTGTACATATATATATATATACATATGTGTGTGTGTACATATATATATATATATGAATGATCATGCATGTCACACACACATATATATATATATACACGTGTAATAATAATATGCATATGCAATCATAAATATATATATATATATACAATGTGTATATATATATATATACACACGAATTGCATTAAAAAAACAAACACATATAATCCAAGAATATGTACTGTATATGTGACATCTGTTGGGGCTCTCTGAGTCGAGGCACTCCTCCAAATTCAACGTCCCATCACCAGAGGAATCTACCTGCTGGAAGAGCGACTTCACCTTCCTGCGGATGACTCACATGTTGCAGCAAGGAACACGTTCCGAACATATCAATGAACACAAAACTGTGAGACTGGGAATTCATGGGAATTCTACGAAATCCTGCGCATCCACCAAGCTGTCGTGTTCGTAGTTTGGATGGTTTGGATGTACTGTGCTCAGGAAAATAGATCACCACATATCACCAGATATCACCACTGTACAGAGCTCTGCCATCTTGGCGTGTGAAAATCGACCATCAAACCTTCAGCGGCCAACCCCCGATCGCAGGCTCCTGGAATAAGCTGCCATGTCTTTTTCCTTCTGTTTGAATGCAATTTCTTCATCCGAATTCGCAGTCTTCAGGGTCTGCTGAATAAACACCGCCTGGAGATTCAGGAGTTTTTGGGCCCGGTTGACCCGGTTGACCGAACTTAGTGGTGGAGATTGCTGAAACATGCTGAAACTACAATCTGCGAAGATCAGGGTTATATTCAAGCCAAAGCAATGCCAAATGACAAAACCAATAAAATGTAGTTTTATATATATAATATACAGTGATTTATTGCATATTTATTATGTAAATGTATATGTATGTATGTATATTATGAATTATATATATTATTTATTTACTGTAAATCATTCTCCTTGTGAAGTGCAACCAACAAAAAACCCCAATTCGGCAAATCACCAGCACCAGCTCCAGATTGATCCGAGGCGCATTAATGACATTCAGCGTAGCATAGAGAAAAACACATCGATATCCCAAGAAGAAACAAGCGAACCATTCCGTGACATTCTCCACCAAAACGCGTGCGGGAGGACCAAAATTTCCGAAGAGAATCTCGAACATGGTCAGGGAGGCCCTGGTGAATGTGCCATAATATCGAAAGATCTGCGCACGTATCTCTGCGTCTAGGCTCACATCCACGATGAAGTCATAGGATAAGGTGCTTAAGATCATCCCTGACACACACTGGAAGAAAGAGAGTAAACCTCAGTCTCCATTGGGGCAACTGATGCTTAGACAGGTTGGACTCAAGTCGCTCAAGCCATTCCAAGGTCTCAAATTTCTGGGGTGCAAGCGAAACTTGATCTAGTTTGGAGGATGATCTGCTGTGGCCCTTGGGGTTTAGTTTAGTGACTGGCGCTGCAAGTGTGTGAACGATTGCGAAACCACGCTGCAAACATCTGCGGAAAACATCCAGCCCATAAAGGCCGTAGAAGAACTACAGACTTAGACTACAACTCATAAGAACTAATTATAGACTAAGAACGACTAAGATAGATTCTATATCAAGAATCATCACTTTTTTCACCACAACATAATCACAACTAATATCCTGCTATTCTCACAGCCCAGGTGGCTGAAGCTCCAGAACAGAGTGTTGGAGGATCCCAACAAACATTTGATCAACATCTGGAGCGAAGCCATGACCCGCGTCATACGGATCATTCGAACGGATCGCACCAGCTTTCCCACGCGAAGCACCTCACGGCTTGGACGCAACAAGCCTTTGTCCATTTCGAAGATAATGTATGATTGTCTAAATGCATAATATATATATATATATATATTATATTGCTATATTATTTTATACCATACTATATTATATTGTATTAGAATGTATTATATAGATTTATATAGTTATCTTTGAGAACTGCGTCCGACTGATCATCGTCACTTCCACTGAATCTGCAGGCAAATTTCATGCGTTTGACCTTGTCCAAATCTGGGCCCGAGACTGTTTGCCACAGCTGGAAATCTTTTCTACGCTGCCAGGCTACATGGTTCAATACGCTTCAATTATCATCAATGATGCCCATGATGTGGTAACATACATGATCATACATGTAAAACATTGTAAAACTATAAAGCAGTAATTATATAGCAGTTCTTCAACATATAGCAATTCTTCAACAATTTAATCCTCCCCACTGAAACAACGCCAGAGTTACCCGAAGGATTGCCAGGTTCCTCACAGACGAGTCCGTATAGTACAGAGCAACTTCTGCCACAGAAGCTGCGCCTACTATCAAATCGAGGTAGTTCATCCAAGCTTTCCAAAAGTCCAGCCGCAAAACAGCAACCCGGACCACCACGTCCAGCGCAAAGAAAACCTCAGACTTTGACTATATTTGACTTCTTGACAGCACTCCTGTGGAAAGAATGAACCCGTGCACTCAGTACATGAAGGAAACCAGAAATCTGAAGCATGGTGTTCAAGCGGCTTCAACGATATCCAAGCTGCTGGTTAATGACACTTCACAATTAATGAATGAACTCATGCACTCCCCTGTTTCCAAGATATTCCAATTCCAGCGGTCTAAGGTCCATGAGTCTAGATCCATGACGCTCCGCTGTCCAACTTTGCTCCTCTCAATTGAGATGTGATATTTACTCGATGATCATGGGCCAAATCCAACTTTCATTTGACTCATATCTATCTACCTATTTATCTATCTATGAATATTATATATATATATATGCGTGTTTGTCAATTGAAACTGAGCTTACCAAATTCAAAAATGGCTCAAAATCGTCCCTTTCTCCCTTTCGCCTTTTTTGGATCGGCATCATGATAAGGTCAGTATTGACCCAGATGGGTGAGATATCCAAACCATTCCAAACCAGGGAGCTGTAAATATCATGTTGCCCAAGTTGAAGATGTTCCGAAGCTGCGGCTGCGCATCCGGTGACACCAGTGCGGCTTCCACACCAAGATCCGCACCCACCAGGGAGCCAAAGATCTGCACTTCGATGGCAATCCAAAGAACCTGGGAAAACCGGGGCACCAGGGATGTTCACCATGAATAACCACCTCACCCATATTTTTGATGGTCTGCACCCATAAAAATGGTAAATTTGGGGGTGTTTGCTATTCTCTACCAATATTAAAATGATTTAAAATGTGTGAGACCCATGATGTTATAAAACAACCCAATCCTAGATCAGTTGGAGCCAGTTGGAAGGCAATTTGCATGAAACTGGGAGCAAAAAAGAGTGGTTTCCTGCAAATGGTAGGAGTACCTTAGATAAATCTAAATCCACTGAATTGACAAACCTCCCGTCTGGCGTGTGGTTTTTCAGAACAGCAGCAGTCAAAGAAATATGAATGTACTCATGACGATGAATAGAATATCGTCGTTATCGGGGGTTTGCAACGTTTAACAGTCTGTTAGTTGCTTGAGCTGAAGAACGCCAGGTTTCTACTCAAATCTACTCAAATAGTCTTAAGTATACGACTTGTTTACTGCAAGTATCTTCAGCTTTACATCTTAGAACAGTCTCACTAGTAACAGTAAAATGAGTCTTTTGGAACTCACGGGCCGGCAACCATAGACCATAGATAATTATCACAAAGTTATAGGCCTTGAAATAGAACACGAATGAAAAACAAATAAAAAAAGTACCATGTGCAGACTGAACATGCGTCCAGGGCACATTTAAGAACAGTGCCACAGCGATCAAAAGCTCAAAGGTGTTGGATTGAAGCCAACTACGAAGACCTATTTGAGTAGGAAATTCCAAAGACTGACTCTGCAAGAGTTGGAAACTCTGCTGTAACGAAAGCTTTGAAGTATTGGTTCCGCTCCGCATCAGTTCCGCAGCATCACCTCAGATCGCACCGTGCCCCTAGGGGAAAAAACGAACCCTGGAGCCTGGCTCGAAATGATCCACCACATCTTGAACAAATATGATATATCTCAACAGAAATCCTATCCCATCTATCTCATTCTATCTCTATATTGCCCATCTATATCAATATCATCTATCCTCTCTCTCTCTCTCTACATTGCCTCCAGACCAAGCCTGCCTCAAAGGTACGTTTTGCACTGCCAAATTCACATCCATCCATAGTGTATCTACCATTATCTACCTACACCCTCCAAATACCCTCAAAAATTTGAAAAAAACAAAACACTACACTTCTTGGATAAAAAACCAAGTTTATGAGGTGGGTACTTGAAGGGGTCTAGGTATCATCATGGCATCATGGCATCATCCTGGCATCGGCATTCCGCCATTCGGCACCCAAGGCATCCAAGGCGCCGCTTTCCAAAGCACTCAGAATTTGACTCGCGTGGACCTCGGGCCCCCGGCGTCGACACACGCTGTGCCGCTTGGGGCGCCAGTCGGAACCTCCGCCGCCGCAGCTGTTGGTGCCCTTGACGGTGACCGAGTCCTCTGTGCTGCAGCTCCCCATGGGCTCCAGGAACTGCGTCCGGAGGGTGGCGTTCTCGGACTGCAGGACTTCAGCCTGGGATAGAAATTGGGATGATGACTTTAAGGGCACTTCGGTCTATAGAGTCTATGGAATAGTTGAGCTAGAAAAAAACTGCAAAAATATGGGCTGGAATTCGGTGGAAATTTGAAGTCTTACGCTGACATTCTAAGCCCCTGGGATGAAGTTTGGGCAAGTTGGACTCTAAAAGGCTGGTCATTTTTGGGATCAGAGTGGAACCATCCAACTGGCAATTACTGTAAGGGACCAATTGGGGACTGGGTCCATTTGGGAACTGAGATCCATATTCATGCCATATTCTATGCAAAATCTGTTGGAAAATGCCCGAAACATGCAAAGATCAAGGTAAAATTTAGTGAGCATCGCACGCCAATTAATTGATACAAATAAACCGGGTTGGAAATTTGCTCTCTAAATGATAAAACAAATAAGCTAAATCCAGTTGAGTTGTTAGTATTAGCTCTCAGCAAATTTACCCCGTTGATTATGGTTCTTGGAGAATTCCCCTGACTTCAACAAGTTTGCTGAAGCTACACTGGCATGCAGCGATCCACTTGATGACAGTGTACCCCGGCAGGAAAAAGCGCCCTCCAGAGACTGGGTAGGGTTCCCGACAACTTACCCGGCAACTTATCCCACAACAGTATCCGACAACAGCAGCAACAACACAAACAGCAACAATAACATGGCCCATGAAGAAGTCGGACACTTTGGCAATTATATATATATATACACATATTATCATATATTATATTTCTATATGCATATACTTGATCCTTGGTGAGGAATATCATCAACCAAGCAAGAGGCCTTGCTTGCTGCATGGTGCAACCATGCGGCCCAAGATCGAGCTTCTGACAGCTCCGTCACATGCTGTTCAATCAGTTGATCAATGATTGATCTGAATATGGCCTTGGCTGTCCAGTGTTGGTGAGGACCCATGAAACAAAGAGGTTAAATGCTTGTGGCCACTGCTACAGGGAGGATATCTAAGGGTAGGAACAATAGCAATTGAAAAGGCAAGCTGTTTCAGGGACAAGATTCACATGTTTTCACATCAATGCGCCAGTTTTCATATTGCAAGACCCAACACAGGGCAAACAAATACTACTACTACTAATGATAATAGGCCCGAATAATTATGGCAATATAACAAAAATAACAACATAAACATGTAGAATCCACTGATGCCCTCAGCATCCCATCCCCTATTTCCAGCCGGCTCTTCGTTTGCGAGGGACCGAAATTCCTTCAGGATTTTCTGCGGGCAGGCTTACTTTTCCTACCTCTGAGGGCAACATTGAAGCCTCATGGCACAACTGATCCAGTAAGTCTGCACTGCAGCTTTCTCTGCTTGTAGCACTTCCAAAAAAGGCATTGCAAGCTCTGCTAAGTGTATTCCATCAATCTATTTAATAGCACCTGACTATTTTTTTTAAAAACAGTCAGCTGATTTATGATATTTATGGTACCTGCTTTAAGCACATCTTTGCACCACATGGATCCACATGGCATGTTGCCTCCGGTGTCTCCAAATTCACTGGTTGATTTGCCCGAGTCTGCGCCAGCTTCTCAAAGGAAGACTCCAAGGAGGTCATCTCGCCGCCCATGGCATTCATGGGACACCCGGAGCCATGCAGCTGCAATGAACACTGGGATCTCTGAGAAGGCCACAAGATCTACAAGTTCCAAACAACAAATCTTCATAACATGATCATAACATCATTTATGAGAGATATTTATATATATATATATTATATATATATATTGATCATAAAATGATCATGTTCAACACATCAAGTGCTGTGGCTGTTGCCAGCCTTCGTGCCTTCGTCACTTGCCGCAGCACACTGAGTGCCCCACGGCGCGTGGTGACTTGCTTTGGGCTGTCAATCCTCGGGACCAAGATGGACCAAGCCCCAGGCCCAAAACAACGGCAGTGTCTGTAATTTTAATATATTTTAATCTGGTAAACCATGGTAAACTCAAAAATAAACCATCCCCAAAACCATTGAAATGGTGGTAAAATCAACACAAATGGGTGGTTTTCCAACAATCCCAAATGGTAGGCTTATGATTGGCTTTCCCACAATACTATCACTAGCCTCTTCAATGATGTTTTGTGATGCCGTGCCTTGCAATTCTGCCGGAGAATGACCAAGCCGTAAAAGCTTCTCTCTGAGTGACTGGTTCTCTGCCTGTCAGAGGCTGCCACTGTCCCTATACATTGGCTTGACCGGCCATGTAATCCCTATATGCGATGAAGAGATCAGGTTTATATGTCAATAATGCTGTTTTTGCTCTGTGACTATTGCAACCGCGACCATCGTGTGTACCCATCAGCCCCCCACAAAAACATCTCAACATGCAAAAAACTTGTTATTCTTGCGTCCAGTGCATGCGCCAGCCTAACTGCTCTTGCAGAAAAACACCAGTCACCAGTCGTTACAAATTAGCGCATTCAGAATCTGGTGATCTGTACTCGCATGATCTCGCATGTGGTCGCTCAGTGCAGCATGTCGCCTTAGCAAGGGAAGGCTTGCTACCAACTGAGGGCTGTAATTGTGCAGTCCAATTGTACATGATTCAAAGGTATCAAAGGCAACTGTGCAAGGCTTTTTTTTTACCTCTCGGCTAGACTCGCCAGGGCAAAGCTGTATGTCGTTGTTTCTGTGTTCCACTTCCAATATCCAACCTTTGTCCTAGCTGCTGGCTGCCATTTACTACCACGAGGTCTGAGAATACAGCGTTGCCCGGCCTTTTCAAAGCGTTCAGTGAGAAGTGGGTACGTACGCACGCGCTTCAAAGGCACTTCCAGTCACTGGAGTTGTCTTGCACTGCTCCGTCCCTGGTGTCCAGGGAAGGCTACGATCCAGTCATGGGCGGCGACAAATGGCCACAGCGCCTGCAAACATCACCTTTAGGCCTGATGTTCGGGCAGCCGACGGCCCATCGAAAGCTTCCGGCATTTCCAGAACATGGTTGCCGTTTTCTATGGTCAAACATGGACACATGATCTCCCCTACTTGTTGATGATCACGAAACCTAAGCCACATTCGCACGACGTGCTGAGGCACAACAGGCAACCATGTGTATCCTGTTGAATAACTGGAAGCCCGCCAAATAGCTTAATTAATTACATATGGAATGTCCTGGCACCTGGAATCTGGTGCGCCAAGAAGAAAGCACAACCCCTCAGCATGCAGTTTTGCTTCATGGCCTGCCTTCGGCAAAAAAAATAAAGGCTCTGCCACCTTAAAGGTGGCAGCTGCGCAACTCACGGGCCTCACGGGATTCAAACATCTGTCACCTCCTGCAGGACTTTGCCAAGGAAGCTGAAGTTACTTCTGTTATTTTGGTGGGCTGGCAAGGTCTACATCTACACCAGTTTTTTCTTGTCTGCGAAACCCAGCTTTGTTGCTTGAATTTTATTTGACACCTGGGGACGGTGACTAAGTGACCAGGAGGCCTCAATGCGTCCTGGAAAATATAGGTCTGGATGCCATTTGCTGGAATCTTCAGCTGCGCGGCCAAATCGGCATACTTCAACTTGAAGACCTAGTGCGCCGAGGGATATCTTCCAGCAAACCGTGCAAAGAAAAAGCACAATATGTTCAATTGGATTCAATTGGAGCTTCATGCAACCATTTTGACAAATGGGGGGGTTGTTCATCGCCATGTTCATAGATGTCACAACAAGACTGCCCAATAAGTTAACAATAGAATTACAAATAAATCCTGAATCCTTTACATGAGGCCCCGCAGGGCATCGCAGGGCCCCCATAAGACGTCCCAAGCCATCTTTGAGCTTTGGCACCACATCGTTGGGGCTGCAGTTGAGCACCACCTCAATGACGTGAGCCAAGCACGGGCAAAAATCAACGACCGACTCAGTATGGCTACACACCAAACTCAGCCTCTGACGACAACGACCTGACATGAACCGAAGTGGAAGGGGTAATTCATGAAGCAAGCGCCCAAAAGGATCAGTGACAAGAGCCATCACAGTCTGATTCTACCTGGTCTACCTGGTCTACCTGGTCTACCTGGTCTACCTGGTCTACCTGGTCTACCTCCCCAACCTTCGCGCCTGACCATCCGGCTGCCTCGCAGCCGTGGCTTCCAATCCGTCGTCGCCGGTGCAGGTACCATAGGGTCGTGGACCAACTGGGCACCCCGGTGATGAAGCATTGCCACTTGGACACTTGGACATGGACCACGTGTCTGAAAAGGGGACAAACATGGACAAACCCGACTTGGCAAAGGTTATCTGGGAAAATGATGATAAACATTGATAAAACTATCAATCTTTGGGTAGCTATGCTCAAACTTAAACCGATATACACATCTTTTCACCCAATCAGGCCAGAACATCTCCAGAACATCATGAAAAAACACATGGCCAGTGGAGGTTTACCAGCCCCAGCACCACTTTTTTCGTCCCACCTTTGACGGCACCGCTGCGAAGTACTTCACTGTCCAAATGGACAGACCCAGGGTGGATGAACTTGGAGAAATGACCTAGGTGGATCTGCGCGGACGTGGATGGCGCGGACGTGGACGTCCAGTAGCCATGTAGCCATGGTAGTAGCTGCTCCATTTCACGATGACTTACCCATGAAAAATGGTGTTCAAATTGGCCCATGGCTATAATATATAAATTAGCCAAAGAAAAAAATATATTGAATAAAATCATCTACTTGGTTATGCCCCCCAAAAAAATACAGATCCGTGAACTTGCCTGCCACTACAAGGGCCATCAAATTCCAGTGCTGCACCCTTACTTTCTATAACAAACACTTATGCAGCGAAAACGCGGGTAAAATTCAGTAGCTCCACACAGCATCTCCGGCAAGTACTTGTATCAATTCATGTTGTATCATCTTGTAACTTGAAAATACTTGAAACTGGTTCCTGCAGTTTTTTGATTTTTTTGGTGCCCGAGCCAATATAGTAGTACTGAGGGTGTTTGTAGACTTCCTTCTTTGACAAGTCCACCTGGCACGGTCACCAGCTCAAAAATCCGAGCAAAGGGAGTTTGTGACTTCAGCGAGGGCAATCAGATCTAAATTGTGGCTTTACAAACTCGTTTATGTGTATGGCATGAAAGCAGATGCAACCAGTCCGGCCCAGTTCTGCCAGAAAAATATAACTTTTGTTCAATGATCACGCCTGAATGGCTGCATCACAAACATTGTTCACGTGATTTGGGCCACCCTTCTCATCCAAAATCAAATTCCAGTCCTGCACGCCGTGATCAACGGTCACATTTTAAGGCGGCCCAAGACAGACGCCACAACTGCCACAACTTGACATCTGTCAGTCCAGCCATCCAACTGCTCCACGATTGAGGTCTCCAATGATGTCATGGGCATAGCCTTGTCCAAAATCCCAATCACCTTGGGATAGGACGGTCCCTTTCCTCCAGCGGTACGCCTGGCGACGGGCTGGTGACGGGAACTATGCGAACGTCTGGCCATGTCATGCCATGTCTATAGAGTATAGTCACGGAAAATTACCAACAAACCATTTCTTATTAAATTCTATTGTGTATATATATATATATAACTATATATATCGATATCTATATACTAGATATTGATAGGAAAAGTACAAATGAACCAATCATATTCAATCACATATATATATAAGCAGCCCTTCCCCAAACTTCATAGTTTCAGGCCTCCCAGGTTGCCTCACTGGCTAATAACTTCAGATCTGTACGCTTCAACTCTGCCTGGACGGATCTGGACGGGACATTCCAAGTTCAACGGTCAGCAGTTTCTGAGATGTGCTAAACAGTGGTTAACCCAATGGTTAACCCAATGGTTAACCCAATGGTTAACCCAATGGTATGTAAACTCCCCCCAAGAATCTTGGTATGGTATATTTTCCGTCCTGTATGAAATGGTACACGTAGGCACGTGAAACTTTGATACCTTAATTGTCTGATATTCAATTGTCCCAGTTGATATTGCACATTCTATGCACAGGAGTGAATCAAAAAAAAATCAAATATATTCAAATGTGCCATGGCATGTATCTGTATAGTTTATGGCCATCCTCCAATATGGCCTACCCTCTGGTAATTTAACATGGCTATGGAATATGGTCGATTGAGTTTGATGATTTTCCTATTTTCCGTAGCTTTATTGAGTTACCAGAGGGGTAAATTCCCAATTTATCTCAAATTTTGATGCTTAAACCCCATGTCATTTCAACTTTTCATGGTTAAATCAGTTAAATCATGGTTAAATCCCAAATTTCCTCATGATTTGATGTGTTTTACCATGGCTAAGTCCCACTCAGTCCCGTTGTTTTTACCTCTTTTTCCCGTGGCCAAAACGGGGGTTCCCCTGGAAACGCCTGCAATCGCTCCAGCTGATCCCAGCCATCGCCCGAGTACCAGTGGTAGGCGACCCCAGCAACGTACTGCCCAGCAACCTGGGCTCAACTTTGGGCCACCTGTGACCAGTGTCAAACTGGGTTGGTTTTGTTGGGAAAATCTACACCGGAAACCAATGGGTAAAAAATTACCATCAAATTGATCGGGCTTTCCGGTTAAAAATTTCCCATCATCCAATTCTATGACAGTGTCAAACTGATAAAACATGATATATATATATATAAGAGACCTTTAGGTGCCATTTTGTTCGGACTAGTTTTAATGTTTTTAGCGTTGTTAAGGTTTTAATGATTTTTTAATGATTTAAACACATTAAACACATTAATACCCCAAGAAGCCTTTGTTTTTAATGTTTTTAATGTTTTTAATGTGTTTAATTGATTTATGTATGTATGTGTGTATGGATGGATGGATGGATGGATGGATGGATGGATGCATGGATGCATGGATGCATGGATGCATGTATGCATGTATGCATGTATGCACGTATGCATGTATGCATGTATGCATGTATGCATGTATGCATGTATGCATGTATGCATGTATGGTTATTGATGTATGTATGTATGTATGTATGTAGGTAGGTAGGTATGTATGTATGTATGTATATGTGTGCGTGTGTGCCTGTTTATTTTTGTTTTTTATGGTATTGGTACTATTTACGTATATATATATATATATATGATTATATATGCATTAAACAAAATCAAGACGGTTCTCAGCTTGTCATTTGAGTTTTCATGTCATCATACACTTTCAAATACCTGGAAGACCTGACATCCCTTGCGTTGTCCAAGCGTCTGAATTTGCGAGGACGTCCAGGGCATAATTGGCCACTTGATCTTTGTTGTGGTCATAGATGAAAATCTGCACATCCTCAGTGCGTATCTTTTTCTGATGTTCAAGGTTTAGCCACTGATTGGTGGTTCCAACCTTTCTCAAACATAATTAGTGGTCATAATTATTGGTCATTGAATGTCATTGAGTCACTGGGGATCATCATCCCATTCCTATTGTTGAACATTCAAATCATATAGTCAATGGATTGATTCCAAGGATTTTTTTTCTCCCGGAAAGCCCCATGATAGAGGGAAAAACCGATGGTTTCCGGTTAAGATGTTCCCTTAAACCAATCCATATATAGGTAAAACCGCCAACCAAATGCCCAAGATCCGGAACCAGCTCGCGGATCACTGGACCCAAATGATTCGCCACAAAGTCCGCTTCTTCCTTTGAAGACATCAAGCCTTAGCCCGCCATGGCTTCCTGGGCTGGAAGCGAAGCAACCCTTGAATATGCATGTATATTATATATGTATATACATGTATACATCCCAGAGGATCCATGTACGGTATATATGCTAACATTTGGGGTATATTGATGGTAAATGTTACCATACATAGCATACATGAATCCAATGGGCATATATTAGTGTGTGTATTTATCTGTTTTTTTTCTATCTCTCTCTCTCACACATATATATATATATATACATATATATATATACATATATGTCGTTGGATCGTGGATCGCAACGCCACTGATAACGGTTCCCACCTGAATGGTTCAAGGTCCTCCTTGATCACCAGAAAGTAGTTGATGTTCAACCAAAGTAAAGTCGTTCCAACAGTGTTGTCCACAACACCAAAAATGTATATCTATCCAACCAAATCCCAAAAGAGTCCACTCTTCACCTTCCAACCAATCCTATGGCGGCACTCGAGATTTTTCCCCTATCTCGCTGAAATTGGCCTTGAGCCACGAGTCAAAAGGCACATAATGAATGTGCTTTCCCCTGACAGGAAACAATCGAAGGTGTATGCGGCAGCAGCAAGTTACGAAACTCACACTGGTCTCTTTTCTATGTTCGATTGTTTCACCCATGTGACACCATATTTTCGATTCGAGTTCTGTTTGAGGGTCATTTCTTCATCGTAGATTCTGAATCTTCCCAACTGCAAAACGGTGCGTAAGAAAGTTGAGTCCATGGACTTCGTTAGGCAGTCTGCCAACATGATAGCAGTGCTGATCCAGCGGCATTGGGTATGGTTAGCTGATTGTTCCTTCAGCAACATGACTTCTATGGTGGTACGCCACTCCTGGCAATTTGGCACTGCAGTCTTCGTGACTAAGTCATATAAGGATTTACAATCAGTGATCATTAACCCTGGTGGTTCTACACAAAGAGACTTTTCAGGTTTATGCCAAGCAAAAGAGGGATCCTTTATGTAACCCCACATGCATCTAATCCACGTTAACTTATCTAGTGAACTGGACATAGCGTATGCTTCGGCACTCAAAGTAGAACGAACCACCCTACCAATCTGTTTGGTATGCCATGCAACTGGAGAGAAGTCTGTCGTCTCATTGTTTGCTAGTTTCCGTGTGCATGCCATGATAAAAATCCCTTGCTGGGCTGACATCTGTTTGGCCGAAGCGAAGCTTGCATCACCAAAGCTTGCGAAACAGAGCTCCGTCATGGGGATCGGACGTACGATCACAGAGGTGTTGGCAAACTCTTGGGTTTCTTTGAGTACTCGATTTGCATCTAGCAGAGTTTGCACGGTCGCCTTGGTAATACCCTTCTGCAGGTGCGCAACTTTTGCGGCCACATCGGGCCGGGAATGCACTGCGGCGTATTGTAGGCTCCCGCAAATCCCCCTTAGTTTATTTAACTCCTGTGGAGTGATAGGGCTATCAACTTCTGCTCTACGGAGTTTAGGGATGTCTATGGGAGTTATTCTTTGGACATATTTTTCTTGGCTAACTTTGATAGAAAAATCCGGCAACTGTTCTATTTCAAGTCCTGTGAAACGGAATTTGCGTTTTTCATGTGAGCCGAAAGGAAGCTTTTTCTGAAGTTGTTGTAGGGCATAGCTAAATTTGTGGTTACCTGCCCCCAAACCGTCATCCACATGAGTCCCCACTATCCCATTGAGGATCTTTGGATCTTTGGGGTCTCTTAACAAGTACAAACAATTGTCCAAGGGATGTGCGGTGAAACCTACTTCTTCTAAGCATTTCCGAAATTCGCGATAGAATAACAAAGGGGCATCTACCCGTCCATAAGCATTTCCTTCTAGTAGGCAGATCTGATGTTTTTCCATTCCAAGCAGTTCTCTCAACTCCTTTGGGGGTTCCATTGCTAGTTGACGATCATCGGATTTCCCTCGTAGAAAGGCAGTAGTGATGTCAAAGCTTTCAATACACCATTTGTGGCTGGCAGCTGTCTGGAGTAATAACATCCTGCCATCTCGGGTGAGAGTGGGACTATCGGATGCTAATTCCCCAATGTCGGGGTCCTGAAAACCTTTTACCACAAGTCGTGCTTTTGGTTTCTTTCCATCTTCGCTATTTTCATCTTCCTTCCAAGTCAGTATCCATCTAGAGGCTAAAACTCTGGAGGGGTGAATTTTATCCCGAACTATGGTTCTTACCGTTTGAGTATCCAACCAACAATTCAATTCCTTCAACTTGGCTTGCTTGAACCTCTCTCTCTCTTGGGGTGTCAAGTCACTGTAAACAAGTTCTTTCCCAAACCTGCGGGCCGCGGCATTGACCTCTGGCAGGTGCTCTTTGGGAGATTTGAGGAACTTATGGAATTGTTGTTTTGGCATTTCAAACTCAAAAGACACACACGCTGCTTCGCAAGGGTCGGGCATTGACCAAAGAGCGCCATCGTCATGAACACAGTCTGTCGTCTCGGTATTCTTCTCGATGATAACAGCATTATACACAGGTTCCATGTTACTCGGAGTTTCATTTTCCGACTGATCTGTGTCCAATGATGCAGTGTCAGGAGCAGATTGTGCCAGGCTCGGGCTTGGAACCATTGATTCAGGGCTTTCTTCACTATTGGAAGAAAACGGGGAGTCTGGAACAGGCGTTTCGACCGCAGGGTCGTGCATGGTTTCGTCAGGAATTTCGATCTCACCTCGTTGGCGTCTGATTGGTTCTTCCTCTGGTTGTCGAGAGGTCGAAAGTTCGCTATTGCCATCGTTTGCCTCTTCTTCTGTTGGAGGATTCACCTCAGATAAATCGGAGTATTGAAACATGCCACTCTTTTCTTTCAACTGTGTCTGTAAACGTTGTGCCATTTGTTTCAATTCTTCTTGGGCATTTGAAGTTGTAAAAGTGGAGTGTCTTTGAAATTCACGCATGGAAACTGGTCTGAGATTTTCATGGGCACATCTTAACAACCGATTCATGTGAGTGATCCATATGATTGTTCTTGATTCCTGGCAAACTACCTGTGCTGGACCACACCATCGTCCTTTCTCCAATATGTTCGGGGCTTTTCGTTTATCCCAAAACATGCACAACTGTCCACACAGCCATTCATGTATCACACCTCGTGACCTATGAAGGGCTGCTCTGCGAATTGCAGCATGATTGTCAGCATGCCAGAAAGCTGCTCTTGCGGCTGTCCGCAATTCAAGACTTCGCTTAAACTGCTCGGATGCTGGGTCGGGTGAAAGGCACATGTGATGAGCAGTTGATTCTTCGTCTGAGAGTAGTGACCCAGGAAGTTTAGAGGCCTTACCTAGTACAGCTTGTTCTGGACTATATCCGTTATTCACTATCATAGAATTTTTCGCTCGGAAACACTGGTTAAGAGCCTCATCTATTTCAGCTAGACTGGTGAAGTTCTGTGCATGGTCCATTCTTTCAAGCATTTCCTTGATCACACCTCCATGTCTCTCGATACGACCACGTTGCCACGGAGCGGCAGTGAGCACTGGCTGAATGCTGTGGGCTTGCAAAAAATCTTTCCATGGCTGGGATACAAACTCTCCACCTTGATCATGTAGATTTCCTGTGGGGATCCTGCCCATTGAATCCACATCTGTTTCGTTGTACGGATGGAGGCTTGGGTATCCCGGGTTATCCTTTGACCTAAATGGAAACGGGTAGCATCATCTAGGATATGGAACACATAGATTTGAATACCCCTTTTACTACACCAGTCAAAACCATCCAAAAGAATTCTTTCATTAAAATCCTTCGGGTCTTTGAGTTGGCCGGGAGTAGTCTTTTGTGGTGGGTGTCTCTCAGCGCATGACGGACACACAAAGTCGGCAGCACCTTCCACCAGGTGTTCATGTGCTTTGGATTCCTTTAGATGTCGGGCCAGTCTTTCGGCTGTGGGGTGTCCTAGATTATTATGAATCTTGCGCAACATGGACTGTTGCTCTCGAGTAAGTTTCAGGAAATTTGGGCCTGAAACAGTGGCACTTAAAGGAGTCCAGCTGGGCACATCTACCTGCACTGGTGGACTGGCTGTTGATTCAGCGGCTTTTGTCTCAATTGATCCATTGGCGGGATCGGCTGCTGGCATTATAGGTGTATCAGGTCGGCTGTCATCTCTGGAAAACAAACACAACATGATATGGCTTGGCACCTCTTTTCGACAAGCCCTTTTCCGAGTTAATTCACTCCAAACTTCAAGTCCTAGGTCAATTATTTCATGAGTGAATCTTTTCTGTACTATGCTATGTCTTTTCGGCAGCTGATCTCTCCAAGCCTCTTCGCCCAACAAAAGACGATCTAGGCCTTTTCCTGCTTTGACTGCACCAATGTTCTCATGTGGAAACAGTTTCTGAATTTCCTGGAAGACTTCATCTTGCGGGTCTTCCCAAGTGACAACACCTGATTTGGGAAGTTTTCTCTGTAGAAATTCAAACATTGGTTTCCACACGTTCGTGGTGTCGTGTGGTGCAGAGGCTTCACCAGAGTTGGTACGTGCCCTTTTGGCAGGCGGCTCTATTTCATCTACATGGCAAATTGGCGCCTCATAGGGGCCTTGGGATGTTTGCATGATTCCACGGACAATGGTCAGCGCAAGCTTGCGTGGATAGAAAGCAGCAAACCTGGACACGGAAATGCTATGACCCTTCCACTGACATCTTCCTGCTATGGTACTATGACTATGTTCACGATTGCAAACACGGCAGTCCAAAACGGAAAACATCTCAACTGAGGTGGTTTGTATGCGAGTGGATTTTCTCATCAACTGATTTTCACTCGGATGTCTCAGGCCAAAAGCACATTGGTCCAGCTGGGCCGGAATGGAACGCTTCAAAAACGGCTGTATCTCCTGCTGCTTCCAAACGCCGGAGGTTTTGGGACTTTCGAGATGGGTGTGTCTACCTTCATCATGCTGAATCTGAGCTACCACATTACACAACACCAGGTGTTCTTTGGCAAGACGTTGTTGGTGCATGACTTGTTCAAAACTTGATAGGCTTCGCATGGAGTTAAAACGGTTCCAGGCACACCAAGGACCACATTCCGGTGCAAGCCAAATATGTTTTGGTCTCTGTGTCTTGATGATGTGAAATAAAGCTCTTCTTCCAGTAGGTGTTGATAAATCCCCATCCTCATATGTAAACCTCCTTGCTCGCAAACCATGTTCTTGCGCCACGGTGGTCAACATGCTGTTCGGGAACGCATACACTTCTAGGATGTCCAACTGTTCTGACTTGTGAGAACTACTTTCTGAGTCCGGCTGTTGCATTTCATTCCACAGTTGTCTTTCTTTGAAGCTAGATTTATGTGACATCCTAGAATCTTGAAATTCCTCCCAATTGCCTCTCATGGAACCGGGTTGTTGGCCAATTGCTCCAGTTGATTGCGAGCTCGAGCATAGCTTGCGAAATCTGCCACATCCTCGGAAAGGTTGTCGGCTCTGGCCAGAAACCACTTGATGTAACCTGGGTCGGACTCGTACACATGGGCGTAACGAGACCTCAGATGCTTTTTGCCAAAGCCCACGATCTTGTTTCCCCAGCTTTCGAGGGATGCTTGAGTCACCATCAATTAGCTTCCAATCTCGGAAGCTGCGTAGGACGATCCTGGGCTTCCCATCATTGCAGCTGGTGGTCGGGCACTTGGTGTCATTGACACATGCGGCATGGGCTGTCTCACTGGCATTGGAGGAGGCTGATTGTTGGGAACTCTGACATTCATCATCACAGCAGACATCGATTGGGAAGAATTTGGCACCGTTGATGCAGCTTGGCCTTGTGATGGCACCATCTCGGCTTCCCATTCGAAATCTTCTGATCCTGGAACATGGTTCACCGGGCTCACGGTAGGTCCTGGACATGTGGGTGGCTTCTGTTGGAACTGAGCTTGAATCAGATTCCCCAACTGATCGATTGTCCGACGTTGTTGGGCCACTTCGTGAATCAGCTGATTCACCGGATTCATCTGGAGCTCCGTGGCTTCCTGGTTCGGGTCGATCGCACTGGTCATGGTGAACACAATGGTCATCAGGAGCTTCAGACTGGCTAACACTTCCTCTGCCACTGTGCGAAGAGCATCGAGCACTTCCTGGCGTGTCGGCATGACTGACAGGAATCTCACTTTCCAGACCTGGAGGCGGGGCACAGACACTTGATGCGACAAAAGCTGCTGCATTGGACTTGACATCAGGTTGACAAAGATCGGACATGTCAATCATGAACAACCCATTCTTGTTTTCTTTCAAATGCAGTGACCTTTGCAGTGTCTTGAGGAAACATGTATTTTGTCCTAGGTCTATCATGGCTCCTAAACTCTTCATGGTCTTAATAGACAGCAGGAAAGGTGTGGCCTTCGGCACTACTTCAATTAGCAACCAGATTCGGATTCTCTTGTGGACCAATGGTATGCGCAGCTGTTTGTAGCTATATGCAACTTGGTTATTTCCAAAACGGAATCCTACTCTACTGGGCTTTTCCACGACTTGGTCACGGACACTGGCTGGCAGTTTTTGGAGCATCGCGGGGACATGGTCTTGTCCGATCACACTGCGACTGGCACCTGTGTCCAGTATGGCCATTCCTTGACTTTGCATGGCATCTGAGTGATTCTGGCTGACAAAACCATCGGCTCTATTGGTTGGTCTCGGATGCATCTTCCTGGCGGCATGGGTGTGGAGTGCTGTGGTCACCACTTCTGGTTTCAGAACATTCTCCGGACCACAATTCTTTGTTACCCCATTATACCCAATAACCCCTTTATTACCCCGCTTATACCCCGGCTTATCCAGTTTCTTACCCCAAAAGGCTTTCACGTCTTCAACATTTTGTTTGCACAAAACTGAATTTCGGTGGCATGAGGCAACGAAACAGGTTTCACAACGGATGCACTCCTGTTCACTCAACGCTTCAAAGACCACTTGGTTGGTCTCCTCTTCGGCATCGGATGCTGCGGATGGCATGGAGAAGGCAACGTTGGCTGACTCACGGGTTTCTTTCCTCTGAGGGCATTCTGCACGCCAATGCCCAAGGGCACCGCAAAGCTTGCAATGCGTTTTCGCAATGCGAGCCAGCAACTCTTCTTTTCCAGACTTTCCACCACCTTTGCGGTATGGCCGGGATCCATCTTTGAACCCACCTTTCCCTTTTCCTTTTCCAGTGGGCCAAAACCCTCGGCTACGACGGCGATCATTGATCCTCTGCCTAGCCTCATTGTATGAGACCATTGCTTGTTGCATATCAGGAATCTCTTGCAGCATCTCTTCGAAATCACGCTCAAACTGTTGCACTACGTTGGCATCCTCATCTCCCTGAGACACTAGGTATTCCAGATGCTCGGTTGTCAAAACATCCTCTTCCTCATGGTATGCAACGTAAGTGCTCTGAACCGGAAGGCTTTCATCAGATTGGGCAGGTGGCTCTTCCACCTCTGTGAAATTGATTGGGTAAATCTTTTTCTTGGTTTCACCAGGGCCCATCAACACACGTGTGGACAACGACCTCATGGCTTGGTCAACTGCGGTCAGATCCAGCTTACCACCTGTCATCGTCAGGATTTTCTTTTTGTCTTCAGACGACAAACCTGACTGTCTCAACATCACGAAGGCTTGCATTTGTTTGACAGTGACATCATCACCTATCTCATTGAATGCAGCTTGAAGGCGAAGTGAGAAACTATGGGAGGCCTCATCAGACTTCTGTACTACCTTGTAGAGTGCTCGTTCAAACAGTTCATACGTTTTCATCTCTGATGTTTCTTCCCAAGCTGACAAAGCGGCCAACAAGTATTCAACACCTGAGTCGGCCTTGGTGAGCTTCTTCGGATCTAACTGACGCACCTGGGACCAAGCTGTCCCTTTACACAACATAGCTAACCTGGGAGCTAAGTTGGGCTTGTCCTTCTCGGGCATGACACCGTGGATGAACCTGGCTTTCTGTGAAAACTCTCGTATGTCATCTTCACTCGGGTCAAAACTGGGCAGCAAATTCCAAAAATTGGAACCCTGCTGGGAGTCACCGTTCCCATCAGTTGAGGCAGACTCTTTAGGAGGCATTGCTCACTATCCAGAAGCCACAAAACTAGCGGGCCGGCTTTGCGTGCAAGTAGCACGAGCCTCTAGGCTCCGCTACCAGTGTCGTTGGATCGTAGATCGCAACGCCACTGATAACGGTTCCCACCTGAATGGTTCAAGGTCCTCCTTGATCACCAGAAAGTAGTTGATGTTCAGCCAAAGTAAAGTCGTTCCAACAGTGTTGTCCACAACACCAAAAATGTATATCTATCCAACCAAATCCCAAAAGAGTCCACTCTTCACCTTCCAACCAATCCTATGGCGGCACTCGAGATTTCTCCCCTATCTCGCTGAAATTGGCCTTGAGCCACGAGTCAAAAGGCACATAATGAATGTGCTTTCCCCTGACAGGAAACAATCGAAGGTGTATGCGGCAGCAGCAAGTTACGAAACTCACGCACACACACACACATATATATATATATATACATATATATATACATATATATAATTATATATATATCCATGTGTTTTAAAATACATTTACAATCATTCACATGATTTTCATTGATTTTACAGGTATATCATGTATATTATCCTTCCAGCTGCCTTTTGACCATCCCAGGCTGCACGGTGTCAAGCGACAGGCTTCCCACGAGGCGTTGTTCAACGGCTCGTTTTGCACCGTCATGCCCCAAATGGGTACTCCATGCGCCTGACACAAGGACAGTCTGTGTCAATTCATGCTAGAAACCACCAGAAAGATCGGATTCCCATGTCTCAACTACAGTGTCCCCTTTTTTTCCTGCTTTTGATCGCTGTGGCGGCTTAGGTTTGGCTGTGGCGCACCCGATAGGACTGAATCCATTTGGCGATGTAGTTGGCCCAAACTTGCTCCATGCCATGCTTCAAACATGGCTTGCCAGAATGGTCCATCACCTGGCCAGCAAAGATGGGAACAAATGGATGCCCACGACAAATTGGTGGGTTCACATGTTCAAAACAATAACCGATAACCTTCACTTAATTTGTAGAATTCGTATACCTCCCGTACGTGCATGTATATACATATATACACACATATATATATACATATATACATATATATATATATACAAAGTATATATATATATATACGTATATACATGTACATATTATATGTGTATATATATATATATATACACGTATAGTTTACCGTTTTGCCTTTGTTATCTTGACCCTAGCCTTAGCACATCCCATCATCCAAAGCTGAGTGGCTGGGGCTCCTGGGTTCCAGGACTGGTCCTTCATCCACGCCGGCGGACTCCAGGGCGAAGCCAACATCTTCAGTTCGCGTCCCGAACCCTGCGCCCTGCGCGTCGGCAGGAGATCCATGGAGATCCATGGAGTCTCTGCTGGAAAAACATGAGGTCAGAGATGGTCAGAGATGGTCAGATTATGTCAGATTGAAATTGGACATTTGAAGCACTTGAAGATTTTGAAGTCTTAGCTGATTAGCTGATCTTAGAATGAACAATATATGGACTTCAGCTTTCAGGATAGTTCCTGAAGCTCACCTGAAGACTCAGCAGCTAAGCAGCCCAGGGTCCTGATCATGTATTGTGCTGCCCAAATGAGGGGAAGCAACTCCTCTTTATCATGTTCCAAGGATGTGTCGAACATTGTCAGGCCCACCTGAAGCAAGCAGCGCAGAAAATTTGGGACAATTACGCATTTTAAGCAGATTCAATGAATATCGACTTTCATCTATTCTTTCCTGACCATGGTGGAGAGGGCGAAAGAAAGGAGGATTGACGTTTACATTCAGGTTTGCAAATTCCATCATTGCAGCTCCTGAAAACCACTCTGCAGGCAAGAGGCATCACCATCATGATCGTCAAAGGAGTAGCTGGAAATTGAAAAATCGCAGCTGTTAATATGCGTTCGGCCCAGCGTGTAACCTGCAGCTGAGATATTCCCCAAGACTTCAGCCTGAGGCAATGTACCTTTCTGCATTTCTTCTCATGTCTTGCAGGAGGGCTAAACCAGCTAATTAAACATGTCTTAGTGATCCTGAAGTTGCCAGGATTGCTTTGCAAGTTTACTTGCAAGAGGAATTACTGTTGGCATGGGCCAAAGAGAGTTCATTCATTCTGCCTCATTTAGCTCCTTTGAAAGAATGTGTTTGAAACGAGTTAATTGAAAGGTCAAAGGGATCCAAATTCAACATATTCCCATGTTGTCCAACTGTTGGTGCTATTTTGTTGCAAGGCACGTTGATGCTGCGGTTCATTTTGCATTCTGGAAGTGGGAACACTGTCCGCCAGCGTCAAGCTCACCATTTTGCAGACCAAGCAGCCAAGACCATTAACAGAGAAGTAATCTTCAATAAACTGATCCCTCTGGTCGTTGGAGAGTTTCCTTCGCAGCCCGGCTCAGAGCCCCGTTCAAGATCTTGAAGACATGTGGTTAAACATTGCGTAGAGAGAGGGAGAGAGAGAGAGAGATATAAGATATATATATATATATTATAATATAATTCAGAATCACACTTTTTAGAATCAATGTTACAAATGACCCCTTTAAAGGGAGGACCCCTGGGCCCCTCATCCGCATCGTCTCCCAGCCCCAGCGGTCTTGTAAACCGCTGCACTGGACTCGGTGAAAGCGCCACCAAAGCCCTCGATGACTTGGCCCTGGACGTTGCTGATCACCACTTCAGGCCCTGGTGAAGTCACGACCATGGCTGGTCACTTGGGGATCTTGGGGCTGGTCCTATCATCGATATATGTTCCATTGAAATCCGATATCCTATCTCAAAATCTCATCTCTGGCTTTTCTTCACCAGAATAGAGTTTCCATATATTAATATGTGCTAGCTGCCAACTACTGTATATTGCTTTGCCAAAAACCTTCCCCAGCCTGAGAAGGAAAAATCAGACTTGAAGTAGCCGACGGGTTTCCTTGGCTGCCGCCCAACTGATTGCTGTTTCACACGGTCATCGGATGTCATAGGTCTGGGAACATCTCTCGGGCATTTTGGGACACAATCGACATATTTACGGTACAAAAAGTTTCCAAACCTATCACAATTAGATAGAGGCGAGGTAAAACAATGTGTCACTATGAAATCACACGCCATACGCCTTCAAATAGTAGAGGCATTACTGGCCCAGATTCCGAGAAAGCTTGTCGCCTGTATGCTCCGCACTCTGCCAAATGGAAAACGGATGTTGAAAGTCCTCCTGTGCAGTCTGTGCAGCGAGACCTGTCAAAGCCCAAAGCTCACTGATCCGTGCTGATCTGAGCCCCTGCTCTGACAGTCTGCAGGAAAACCACCGGTCTCGACATGAGAAAAGGAAGTGTGGAGCACAATGGGAGTAAATTAAATGTTCCATGGCCATGAATTCGTCACCTCCTTCCCAATATCTTCATCTCCTTCCCCCCATCTCCTGTAGTTGTACAGTTTGGAACTCTGCGCTGGACCTTCCGCTCCTCAGCTAATCGATGGACCCAAGGATTCCAAGGCCTGCGGCATGGCGATGTGTGCTGACCAAGTGTCGCTTCGGGGGCACCTGCATCCAACATCACAAAAACCGCAGCGCAAGCGGTCGCCAAAACCTCAAGCTGCAAAGAGGTCCACCTGGTCCACCTGTGCGCCTTTATTAACAGTACAGTAATAACCACATTAAAGAAGTAGTGTTTGACTCAAGACTGTCCTTTTTAGACAATAGCTTAGCTGACGATACCCAAGCTCTGTTCCTCCTTCCCAAATGGCAATTGACCACGCATAGCTTCAAACATAGATACCACACTGTACTCTAAATGCTTCACGGAACTGCCGCAAGTCCGATCTTTTTCAAAGATGCGATCTGCGGCGGAGTCGCGGGTTCAAAAGCCTGTCCATGTTGGGCACTGCACTACCACTTGAGTGAGGTGGTATCATGTGTTACCTTGTCCGTGCTCCCACAAGCTCAAATAAAACATACTCCAACCTTGGGGGTATTACAGTACTTGTTATGACTTATGACTGGCAAATGTCTTTTCCCATGTGCCTCTCTGGTGTCCGTCACTACCAGGGGGTGCTCCTGCAAACATAGCGTAATCCTATATACTATCCAAACACCCTAGATGTGAATAGCGAATTTGCTCGATGAATGTTACCTTCCATATCTCTAATTTGGATCGTTTTGCCAAGGTCATGCAATAGTTGAATAATGTTGAATAACAGGTGTGAAGTCTGCCCCCTGCAGCCCGTCCTGTGACTCGAGGGTATAAGGATCCATGGCGAGTGTGGACAAAAAGCGATGCACAAAAGAAACAATCGAGAAGCGATATCTGGTTGCAAGTTTCTTTGTTTCTTTGTCTAACAAGTTGTTTCAAGTCAGGGCGTGATATGCCATCCTAGCTCTCTCGGTTTCTGCGGCAAAAACCTGCAATGGCCCGGTTTGGCGCAAGGAATGTGTAGGCAGCATAGGTCTTGAATTACATGAAAGCAGTGTGTCTCCAGTGTCTCCAAATCATCTTCAGCATCGGTCAGTCACAAATATAGTCTTCAGCCATTTTCAGTAGTTCAGCTTAAACATTAATGGTACTTAGGTGCCAGAAGGAGGTGAGACCTTGCTTCAGCCGAAGAAAAATATACAGATGCGGCTCCGCAAGTGCAAACCTGTACACTGTACACCATGTACAGGGGCAGTTCAAACGGAATTGAATGGAATATAGATCAATGATGATCATATGTCATCTATGTTCATTTTTGTGAATTGTTCAACACTTTCATGGCCTTAGCTGCTAAGGATCACATGTGCTCACATAGGGTTCCAATGTCATGATCAATGACGGCGGCTGGTGAGGTCACGCACTGGGTGTAGCGCTGCTCCTGATGCGTTGATATTGCAGCTTTCCAATTCAATCGATATCTGATATGTCCATGTTTATGCTCTGTATGATCAAATATCCAAGCAGAAATAATTAACAAAAAAAACAAACAACAATATAATATTTTAGATATATTTAGTTTGTTTAACCATATTTACCCTATATATTTCTATCCTGGATCCTTATGCCAGGACCAGAAATGTCTCCCCATTTCTTCCCGCTGACACCGGATATGCTCCCGCTTGGCCGTGATGGTGGTGGCGCCGGAGACAAAGTCGCTTTCGAAGGCAGAGTGCACAAACCCACCTGGCGCTGTGGGAATGCCAGCTATGATCCTTCCCAGATGCTCCATGTATGGAATATTTACCTACATTTACCCCAAAAATGGCCCAAATGTAGGTAAATATTCCATACATGGAACATCTGGGCTTGGATTTCAAAGTTATAGATGATATAGTAACGTACATCACAATCCATGTCATATCTCGTTTACATTCATGAATAGTACTTCTATCCCCCGTAGATCTTAATGATATGCATATGATGTCCCGGCGATGGCTAAGGACCTTTTAGGGGAAAATAGCACCTCAACGATCCGCAAATCTGCGGATTTTATCTGGGTTCGTGTAGACACAGTGCACACCAAAATCCCATGGCCAAATAAATGGTATAATGATTTATTATAAGTTTCATTCAATTTCCCTTCATTCAATTTCCCTATACTATAAGAAGATCAGGATTTGGATAGGTATACAGTAATCCATACCCCACCCGTGTTTTATCAATGTTTGGCCAAACCCATGTTCGTTTTCAGGTAACCTGCGGCAAGACCAAGCGGCGAAATAACGTATGGCTTCTGCCAGTTCATCTTCTGTGAGGCGGGCCTAGTGGCTGCTAGACATCCACAAAATCTGTGAATTCGCAATTCAAAAACCCTTAGCAATCTCAATCATGTGGTCAAGATCTTAGCAATCAGGTAATTCCGTTTTAGTTGTTGTAAAATGTTTTGAAGCATGGGGACGGCGTTTTTCTAGGGACGGCGTTTTTCTCTGAGATGTGGACGCCACCGGCCACCCCTTCGGGTGAAACCGGAGAGGTAGCAACCTCCGTCCTTCGAATGGGACCTTGGACACCAGCAAATAGCCCATCTTGATGTGGCAAGCCCAATGATAAACATTGATGAGCCATACCATTAACATCCATTAACAAACCGTTTGGATCCATGTGGTGGTCACATCATCCCAGTTGGATGTAGCAGGGCTCGACCCAAAACATGTTATGATCTTTTTTTTGAACCATAGGAATTGCCACCAGAATCCGAAGCTGGACTGAACTAGTGACACACCAGTTAATGGGATGTCCATTAGATAACATTAGATAACCTTGCCTATGGACCTATGATGACCTATGGAAATCAAATGATGAATTTCCATCTTATTTCACGTGTTGGCTGAGTCCCCGGACGTGATTTCTTGGTCTTGTCATTTCGCTGCACCTGCCGGGTAAACACCATGATTTACCAGGTGGTATACTATACGTGTGTCAAAACAATGGTCAACATATACAAATCGTGAAATGTTCAAGAGGTGATTCATGGTGCTTGGACTGTTTGCTGCTGGATGGTGTGTGTTAATTCAAAGCGGTACTACCCTCTGACAATTTCAGATAGGGAAAATGGCCCACATGTTTGATTACCGCAGGGCAATAACCAAAATTCCGTTAACATTCCATTCATATCCCACTAATATTAATTAACTAATATTTCACTAACATATCCCATTATACTATATTATACTACAGTATCACCATTTGTGTTGACCAAAGGGTGTTTACCATGCCCAATGCTTCCCACCCGAACGGCCATTTCCCGAACGGTGTTGCTGGCCTGGTTCTGGAGATCGATCGTATACTGCCAACCTGGCAGCATCCCATGTGCTTCCGACATTGGAAGAACATCACCATCCATCAACATCTAGCAACTTTATACATTCAGCAACTTCAAAAACATCTCTATACTATCTCCAGCACCTACCTACAATTAATTCCAGTCTGTCATTTTGATACCATCAGATCCATCTGTAACCTCGCCTCGTGGCCCCAGTCTGAGTTCCAATTCCGGCTGCCCCAGCTGGTGTGCTGACTCAATGGAAGCCGAAGCCTGAAGCCATGGCGTAGGCGATGACGGCGATGACTGGGAGTTGGCTCAAATGGCCCTGTCTGAAAAGAAATGGACCCCAATTTCTGGCTGTTCTAGTAGAGAAACTCCGATGGTAATCTTGTTCCGGGGCCAGAAGTTGTTCAGAGAAAGCCACCTGGGTGCTTTTTGCCTTGCAACATCTTGCAACTATACGGGGGGCATAACCACCCGCAACCAGTGTTTGGGTGAAGCTTTGAGGCTGAGGTTGGCAGGTGAGGTGTCCACTACAACTCCTCCAAAATCAGGCCTCCCTCTATCAATTTGCAAAACCCAGAAGTTTGACAATTTGAAAATGAATTGGAATCATCTGCGTGATGGTTTAACGTGTTTTACTATGTTTTAGCTCCCTTTTCTTAGTGCTCAATCCCCATGGTGATTTGAAGGTCCCCTTGGAGAAATCCTCTCAGATCTCTCAGGTCCATCTGAGGCAAGCAACGTCCTCCTCATAAGGACCCCAAGTCCCATCTTCCAGCTGCACCTGGTGCTGCGCGGTAGGATCCCTTCCCCCTAATATTAAACACCAATGGACCATGCGTGGTTTTGTAGTGAATGAAACCGTTCATATTTGGGACCATCATGGACCATCTATAGGGGCTGTGGAAAATCCTGTGAAAAATAGGGGGATGGGATTAGTCGTCGTGTAAATGTCGGTCAATCATTCCCACCATCCAGCTTTCATCATCGCCTCCCATCTGCAGGACGCCGTCCCTCGCCGTACGACGCCCCGCGCCCGCAGCGCTTGGCTGAAGGTCTCCGCGTTGTAGCTCTGTGCGAAGTCTTCGGCCAAGGCTTCATCGCTGCCGAACCTCCATGGGAAATGACTGGGGCCACTGGGGGCGCCCAGGCCATCACTGTGGTATTCATTGTGGGATGAAAACCCAAGGGGGATGGTTGATGGCATTCGGATTACCAGGTTACCTGGTTGGGGTTGAAGTAAATGTCCTAAATGAGATTTAAAGCATCATCTTCGGTTGTAGGCTATTCACTCAATGGTGATGTTTGAAGGGGTCTGGACTTGTTCAACCTTTTTAAATTCTAATTAACAAGTTAAGGTGGCATTGTGACGCTGTATAAAGCCCAATCAAGGTAGTGGCTAAGCCGGCCAAACCTACTGATGCATGCTGAACCCCATTTTCAATTGGTAGATCCTACAGGGAATCTTACCCATTGAAATCCCAAATAGCTGGTACAAATGACCTGCGGCAATGAGTTGAATGAGTTGAGAGGACATGATCAATTGATATCAATTGGTCAAGTCAAACGCAGTCGCTTGATGTCGCTTGTATCTTCTAGTGGCGGATTCCGAATGCGGATTCGCTTTTCGGATTTGGCGACTTCGGGCGCCTCAATTCTTTGGCTTTTTCGTAGCTGGTGCCAATCTTCTTGGCCCATTGCCACGTGCATTCGTTGCAAAAGACCCGCAAGTGTTCGCCAGCCTCAAGTTTAGGCTGACTGGCAAGGCGATCAATGATGATAGATGATTATTATTATGGTTAATATGGCATATTATGATTATTTACAGGCCCTCCTTATTGGTAGACTGAACTGGGACGGTCATTGAGCCCTCTGGGTTTCCAGTGTCTCTATCTCTTCAAGGCTTGGGAGGTTCTGCTGACCAATCTGGTGTCCAAGTGGCTACGTCTTTGACAGCGGCATCTGCTGGAAGCCGTTGCAACGAAATGTCCTGCCACGTCGCAGTCAACCCTGCCCTGCAGCCCGGAAGAGGGGAGTAGGGCCACTGTAGGGAGGAATTGATTGTCCACTTCCAGTTAAATTGCTACTTACATTCATCTTATAAATTTGTATTTATGAATGCATCCTCCCCAAAGCAACATAGACCCCGAGAATCGCATTCGGAGGAAGGCCAGGGACAGAAATTTTCAGCCTGTTTGGCAGTGTCTATGTTAGTTGGAGGGAGGATTTGTTATACAATTACAATCATCCTGGAGTAGATAGAATACGGTTTTCAACATCCTCAAACACCAAAAAAATGATACTGATTGGACCGTCTATATGTTTCTTTGAAACTAGTCACAATATGTGGCTTTCAAGCAGAACATCTAAAATAGAGGTACCATGGAAAATCACCATTTTTAATAGGTAAACCATCTATTTCTATGGGCCATCTATACCATGGCTATGGTCATAACCAGAGGCTACCCCCAAATCATCCCGTGGTGACTTGCTGACCTCCCATGGTGCCATGGAGCCACCAGGTGCGCGCTGCTGCTCTGCAAAGTGCATGAGACGACTGGTGCGGCCCTGCACAAAGAAGTTCTTTAGCTGTACAGGAATAGGAATATGTATAATACCCATAGGATCCATGTATGATATATATATATATATATGGTAACATTTACCATCAATATACCCCAAATGTTAGCATATATACCATACATTGATCCTATGGGACCCTGTATAACTATAAATGCCAACATATTTTTTTAATATATCGAGATAGAATGCAAAAACAAAACTACCTTATAAGATATTATGAGTTGTTCGGGATGCACTGAACACCCATATACTTTGATAGACATCGAATACATTATCTATAAGCACATGTTGCATTAGAGAGTACAATGTCAAATGCTATAGCACCTTGCTGGTGGTTTCAACACCCCTGAAAAAATATGGGCCGCAGTTATATGCTTATGATATTCGGCCAGGTGGTATATTATCAACATTGATCAACAGTGATATATATATATATACAGTATACATATGTATTATACCCAGTGCTGGGAGAAGAAAAACAACATATCTCACAGTCTTCAATGGATTCATTTTGGGCCGAGTCTTGCGCCCAAAATGGGCTGTGTTCGCCCTGCCTCCAGGCAAGGATCAGCCTTACCTAAGTGACCGCACCACAACTCAACTGGAAATTTTAAACTGCAACTGTTAGACTGGCATATCTACCCACATTCATTTGAATCCATTTGACAGATTTTGATAGTGTGTCTTGTCGTCTATGCCCATATAGTGCCCATATCATGTCTTCTGAAAACTGAGGACTCGTCGGTCAAATGCTTTCCTGACAGCAACGTCAATCTTGTACCAAAACAGTTCCACTGTCTTTTCACATTACCCTCCTTTAAACTAACATAGCTACGGAAAATCACATTTTTTAATGGGAAAATCCACTATAAGTGGTCATTTTCAATAGCTATGTTAGTTTACCAGAGGGTAAAATTTGGAAGCCGGGAGCCCCAGGAGATGTCATGAAGTCATTTTATCCCAGCGTTTGCGGTCCACAAGCACCGCACTAGCGGTCACTAGCGCCTGAAGAACTCCAGAATTTTTCCCGAAGCCTTTGCAGCCTGATATGCCTGGCTCTTCATGCCGTGTATCTTCACTATCTTCACTTCTAAGGGATTCTAAGCACTAAGAATCTTGTATGCAACCAAACTTGCATGACATGCAAGTCAAGAATAAAGAACTCCATGGACTCATAATGCTAGAGACCGCTCTTTCTGCATCTTTCAACATAGCGAGAATCAAAGCAGATGGCCATCTGGGCCATCAGTTGGGCAGCTGGCCTCCAGCATGGCTCCTGGTGCCGAGCGCAGCAGCGCGTTGGAACCCTCCCGGTCCCCGTGCATCGTCATGCCGCACGCACCTCAGCGACACCGCACCGGGAAGATTCGGGAAGCAAACGAAAGCAGCTAATTTCTGGTTCCAAATCCCAAGAGCCGGTGACTTAAGACAATGTCCAAGAAAACATGAGAAACAAGTATAGAAAAGTTGTTGTTCTCAGTGGACTTCATGTGGCTTGGAAGATAGAAGCTTGAACAACTACATGATGGGTGAAGATTCTGATAGGACTCATCTTGTGGATCTTCGCTGCAGTTGTTTGAACAAAGTCTGACGCCAAGTAACGTTCCAGCAACTGCACACCTGGGTTGCGCGTGAAATTCTCGCCGTTGTTCAGCTTGGTGATTTCCTGCATCGTTAAGACAAACCACCAACATCCTCCAACACACCCTTTGCCACCTCCCAAAATGGGAGGGGCTGACCGCATCAACAACATAAGATTGTGGACCAATGGATACCAATGGTGGATCAGCATGTATCAGCACCATCATCCGCGAATGGTTCCGAACAGAAGCATAATTCGAGGTGATATGATGAGGATGGAATGCCATGAGCCCTAGCAACATGTCTGCAAATGTCACCCATCCAAAGTTTGAACAAATCATCAGGATGAACAAGGAAGCAACAAGCAAAGCAGCAAATCCTCGACCAAGGCATGTAGTTTGGCGAATCCCAGTACTGTCATGTAAACGTACCTTGGCAAAAAGAAGCATAGCATAGCTAACAGTGGTGTGGTGGAATGCCAAAGCCGCCAATGCCTATTTCACGCAAAAGAAGCCAAGGGCCAAGTGAACATCTTTGAGTTCCGTGCTCGAAGTCGGTATAGTTGGTGCAAAAGTCCTCTTTCTTCACTTTATGCCTGGCACACTGACACAATCTGACACACAAAACTTCACTGCCCCGGGATTTTACAGATTTGACGTGAACAAACCCTGGCAACTCGACGAGCCAAGTCCCAACCGGTCCCCAAAGAAGCCTGACCTGAGACTCGGCCGTGAGCTGGCAAAGTGCTTCAGGCCACCTAAGCCTTGGAACGGGCTGTGGCTGATGGATTCTGTTGCCCTTATATTAATGGAGAGGATTGCCATGCCCCAATATGATATTGTAGGAAATTCAAACATACAATATACATCATGCAATATAATCTACATGCAATCTTTGATACTTTTGATCATGGTGCCAATCGGCGCCACAATTATTGTTCCGTGATTGTGAGTTGTGAATGCGAGCAATAATGATCAAGCATGTATATCGAGGGATCCCCTTTGGCCCTTTGCAGTTCTGGCTGCCGCTGTGTTGCTGCGTTGATGCTTCCAAAGCATCATGAGGACCTCGCAAAACAAGGGCGACAGCTGCCGCTCCTGGCAGCTTCACAAGCATGGAAAACACCTGGGAGCGGTGACCCAAGGCTGGCAGTCCTCATCGGTGAGGCAAGACTCGTCCTTAGCAATGGTCAAATGCATTAAAAGTCCAAGTGGGGTTCAGTAAGGACATTCGGACATTCCGGCAACATTCGGCAACATCAGGCAACAATGGGTGATATAATGTAATATATATTTATATATTTATATATTTATATATTATAAATCATAGAAAAAAGTGCGTGTATATATATATATAATATTTTGAGGGAAAGAGAGAGAGATATATATATAATATATATATATATATATTTGCTGCGAGTGGCGCACACTTCAGCAGCAGCTCGCGTGGAAGCATGTCCGCCCATTGCGTCAAGGCGCTGACGCTTGTGCATGCATCGACTTACTAATTTGCAGCCACAAATGTGGAGAACCTTTGGAGCTGGTTGATAGGTGGGTGGTCAGCATTACCAAACCATCTTTTTGAATCTTTTCGATGGGTTTAACCTTGGATGGGTTTAAGATGGTTTAAGATGGTTTAAGTTGGTTTAAGACGGTTTAAGCTTTGTTCCAGCTTGAGCCAAAATCAATGCTGTCCATATTGTCCATCGCAACCAGTGCACACACGCATACACACGCGCCCCAAACCAAGTCTACACAGCTGAGTTGCATCCCTGAGCTCTGCACATTGTGCAATGTTCAGGTTGGAGGAACACAGGCCGCGTGCACAGCCCAAGAAGAAAAGCGGTGCAGGCCAAATGGCCATTGCCGAGACGACTGGTGACTGGAATAACTGGCCTTTCCATATCTTGACACAATTGCAAAGCATAAACCAGACTCGAATGAAAAGGAGTGCACATGACATGTAAAAGACCTGACTTTGTCTGAAAATTATGGGAAACCCTGATTGCAAGAGAATATCATCAATAATTCCCTTCTATAAATTGCAACTTTGATGATATACCCGTCGTTTCAGACACACCCATTGGCTGATCCTGGCAACTTCGAAGCCTGCAATGCTCGGCCAAATTCCAGGTGTGACTTGGCATCTTCCTTCGCCAAAGCCAGATCGAGGTGGGAATCAATCAGTCTAGTTAAAACATAATATGATATCATGGATCAATTGTGTTCACTGTATACTATCTACTCTATATAGTCAATATATATATATATACTTATATATATATCATATATCTCTATCTATCTATCTATCTATCTATCTATCTGTCTGCCCGTCTCTGTCTCTGTCTCTGTCTCTGTCTCTGTCTCTATCTATCTATCTGTCTGTCTGTGTATGTATGTACGTCTATATGTCTACGCTACACATGCAGTTCAATCAAGCTTGCACCTGACAAGAAACCACACCTTGAGGTCCAACCGTATGCTTTTCTGCATGCCGGGGTGTGCCAAACATAGTGGTGTCAATCGAGTTTTGCAATGTCGTGAAGGAAGCATGTACCAACGAGTAGGAGTGGTGTAGTGCATAAATACACAGTTGGAGGTTTCCTGAAATAGGAGTATATACCCCCAAATCATCCATCTTAATAGGATTGTCCATTCTAAACCATCCAGCTCTTGGGGGTACCCCCATTTTAGGAAACCTCCAGTTGTTCATTCAAGCTGAATCGTTGAGTTGAGACCTGATGCTTGCTCCAATTCAAAGCTTTGCTGCGCCGCTTGTTCTCTAGGATGGAAAGCACTGGCTGCGGCTGAAAGATGGATGCCACTTGTGGGGCACTGACCATGGCTGAGAGTGGTTCCTTTACAGTAGTGATTAGCAAATGATGTTCCAAATGCTGAAAGATAATGAGCTCTTTTTTCCATCCTTTGTCAACTGGTGCCAGGGCAGCTCACTTTGGAATGCCTTCAAAGTCCGGTAGCAACAGCTGAGCAAGGGGAGTGACCAGGTTTGTGGCTGCATGGAAGACGAGAGAGCAGCTGACTGGAGCAACCGACCAACTATCAGCTACAAATAAACCTGGAATATCAGTTGACATCTGACACCTCTGAGTTGCCATGACCTTCCACAAGTCTCTGAAGTCTCAAGCTTCGGCGAAGGATTCCTCGGGCTTTCAAACGGGGGCTCAACTTGGTACCCGCCATTGCGATGGCCTGAATCGTTCGAAATTCTCCGACCAAGTCATGGCCACCTGAATCATCCTTGGCAAATCCCTCAATTGCAATGCTCTCTTCCAAAATGGCCAGGATTTTTGTAGCACCTTCTCTAGCGAGCTTGGCAAAATCTAGCAGCAAATTTGGAAGCTCTTCGAACTGAGCCTCTTCCACAAGCCAAACAAAGGTGACTTCGGCGTGAAGGATCAACTCATCGAAAACCTGGTGAATAGCCTGGAGCTTTGCGGCAAGCAGGCCGCAGCAGGCCTGCCGCAAGGGCCTGCAACAAGATCTGGTGGATGTTCTCTGATATCCATCCATTGGGAATTTCCAAATGATGATTGAACAAATAGGTAAAACATTGTAAAAATGATAAAACATTCTAAACTGATATAAACTGTAAAACGATCAATCTTAAACCCACCAGAAATCTATGACCTAAAACCGTTTGCCTTTGTCCATGGCTGCCCCATGCCGCCTACAAAGCCCATTGAGCTGCGCCAGCTGTTGCAATGGCATCTTTGAAGGCAGAAGCGCCAATGTTTCCGAATGGCCATGCTCCATGGTTTGCTCGGCCCACTGCTCTGGATGGCTCTGGATTCACAAAGTCAGAAAATTAATATGGTCAACATGCTGCTTAAGTGCGTCATGCTCATATCATATTTGGGGTGAATTATATATGAGTTTTCCTGAAATAAGGCTTCTTTCGCCTTATGCAACGAGTTCCCACCCGGCCGATTGGCGAAGTGGAGTCTCATGACTGGTGAAAACGATCAGCTTCGCTTTGCATCGCGCTTGAACTTCCGCTGTTGTACCTGCAAATGACACCAATCTGCAACCTCCAGGCTAGAAGAGCGGGCCTCAACCCAGTGGTACCTGCAGAGTTGTGAATAGTCTTTCTGATTTCGCAAGTGGTCGACCACGTACTTAGCAATGGTTTCTTGACCAAAAAAGCTAATTCTCATCTGCAATCCTGATGTCTGCTGAAGAAAGCCCTGAACATACAGGGAACTGCAGAGCCCACGTGGAACAACGGGGATAGTACCTGCAGGCATCCACCCGATAGCCTGCCCCCACATGGTCTGAAAGGAATGAGCCTGGTCTGCATGGGTTATGTAGTGATGGCTGATGTCATCATTGTCTTCTGTGAACATGAGAAGCTGATTATTCTCATCATCAGTGCGAATGATAGGCAAAACCTTCTTACGAAACAGGGAAAAGGAAAGCGCAAGCTCAAGCCATGAAACGCCAACCCGTCCGGCCATTCCTGGTTCAAGTTCTGACTGCCAAACACAATGCACTAACCAGTGGGCGAACTCTCGTGCAAGCGAGGGTCCCCATGAAAAGAATTTTTCCCACGCAGTGGTATCTGGCATTTCGATTTCGATGCCGTTAATTGGCCGCCATGTGGCCAGCTCTTGAGAAACAGTCGCTTGTTGACTTACATGTGCTGCAGCTGAAGTATCGTCATCCCGCCCTAGGGTTTGAGAGCAGGCAGCCCTGGCGTCCTGTAGCTCCAAAATCAGGTTGTAGCACTGATGCAGCATATCCCTATCACTATGGATGTCATGGTGTTTTGCCTCAAGACTAGCAGCCCATGCGGGTTGCAGATGCTGACATGCGTACACAGCCGTAGCGTCTGCTTGTGCATTACCAAAAGTAAAATACCTCTGCAGCGGACATGAAACACCAAAAGGTTCTTTGTGTGCGTCGACTTTGCAAACGGTTACTTCAGCTCTGAGTGCTTTACTTAGTCGGGTCAGCAAGTCAAAGTTGGCAAACCTACGCAAGTCATGGGAAGATGCTGCGGAACGGCATCGCTGCACGCAGAGAATTGCATAAGCGCTATCTGTGTGAATAACTAACCTGCCTGGGAGTTGCAAGGCTGTTATGATGGCTTCAACTTCGGCTCTGTTAATCGACTGTTCCCCCTTCAACCTGGCTGCAAAAATACCCTGAAACGTCGTAGGAGCAGCGTGCGAAGCCACGGCCCGCTCTGCAGCGTCAACTCTTTCTGCATCAGCATGTAAAAGATCCAGCACCCCCGAAAAAGCGCAGTACCTAGTGGTTGGAGATGAAGGATGTTGACAACTACCATCAGTGAAAATGTGTATCTGCTCGTGGGCGGCGGCACGGGACTCACATTCACTTCGGATTGCGTCGGCGATTATTGCTGCTGGTTCTGCCGCATGGAGCAGTCTATGAGCATCGGATTCAGGGTGAACAAAAACAACAGGCATGTCTGCGTGGTGTGTCTCATGTTCATCTATGTATTTAAGCAATGGCAAGTATGGTTCTCGGACATCCGCAAATGTGGGGCAATTTAGCAGTCTATGCGCATAGCTATCTGTCTCACCACAGAATTGGCATTGATCAGTGGCAGTGGTCCACTGTTGCTTTTGCGTTTCCAACTGGAATGCTCCACTAATGTGCCGAATTAGTTGCCGACGCTGCTTGTCCTCAAACTTGCGAAGGACTTGAATGGTGTCGAGCCGGCTGATGTCGGGCAGGTAATGCCAGTTTCTACGAGTGGTGTAGAGTTTCAGCAGGTCCCTTTGCCATGCAAGTGTCAAATGCATGTTGAATTTTGCTAGCGGGTCACTGAGCAAGTGCAGCTTTTCAAATGCGGATGTGTGAATACTTCCATCAGGGCTAATGTCCCAATCAACACGTCGCAGGTAGCATTTCAAAGCTGCTGCAGGGCCTTTTACAGCTAACGCACCCCCGAGAAATTGGGATGCAACTTTGAAAAACGTGGCTTGTATGTCTGGGTCTTGCACAGCAAGCCATGTCTGTGCTGCCCTAATAGCTTGTAGAATGAGCCAAACATTGGGATCCAAGACTTGGTTACCAGCCAATAACAGCGCAACAGCGGGATTAAGGTTATGGGATTCACCCACCACTGCAGCTGCGACCTTGCTACGAAGCTTATCAACCTTATCGATGGAAACCGGGTGAATTTCAGCTCCGTGGAACATGGAAGGGTAAACACTGGCCAGAAGCAATCTAGTCTTTAAACTAAGGCTTAAGTGCTGCTTTTGGAGTTTTTGCAGTTTTTCAAGTCCTTGTTCAAATCTTTGTTTGCGATGTCCTAGCCTCACTCCGCCGGAGTAGAGAATTTCAAGTCCTAAATCCTTTTCATGATGTGCTCTACAGAAAGTGGCACCAGGCAAGATCTCATTGAAAGCTCCTAGTAAGGCATTGGCATGGTTGGTGTCAACCGCCCAGACCCAAGATTTTTTGGAGTCAATCTGCAAGCCAAAAAGGTGTGTGAGCTGGAGAGTATGCTTGAATGCGTCTATTTGTGGCTCTGTCTCAAGCGCCTTCCAAGCCCAATTGTCTGCGTACGCAGAGGGAAAAATGGAGGGGCATTTCGCCTTGATAAAACTCGTCCAAGCAAGTGCAATGGATATCATGATCAACACGCTGAACGGATCACCCTCAGCAAAACCCCATGTGGCATGGTGTGGGCCAAAATGCTCATTGGAAATTTGCCAATATCGTGACATGTGTTCGATGGATCTCTGCATCTGTTGGACAAGTTCAGGCGGCAGCTTCATCTCAACCAGAAGCAAAAATGCGATGTTTTGCCTGATGCAATTGAAACATTTTTTGAGATCGAAGGTTAGTCCTGAGGGAAATTCATGCGAAAACCGATGAAACTCAAGCATTGCCTGTGTATCATATGAGGCCAAGTGTGCTCCACGTCCTGGCATAAGTCCACTGATGTCGGCTGGACACCAATTGTTCCACTGCTGCAAAGTCTGTTTACAAATTAAGGAAGCCCAAAGTCTGTAAAGGAGACTGAAGATAGTGATGGGCCTAATTTCGTGCCCAGCCGGTGTCCCCGTGGTTTTATTCAAGGGCGTGACTTTTGCGGTCATAAACCATGGTGGGAAACCTGTCTGATATGACATGCATACTTGGCGCAAACGCTCAATGAGCAGGTCAGGCAACATTTTCAATTCAGCAGGTGCTATGGCGTCAATGCCCCTAGCGGCTGTTGGTTTGATGCGACTAATGGCATGTTTCCACGCAGGCAAGCTGAAGTCGAGTTGAACATTTGGTCTCACGGGGAGGCAAGAGACAACCTCTTGGAAAAGCAGCTGGTCTTCAACGGTGATTGGTCTATGTGGAGCTTGCCACAAAGGCAACCAAAAATCACTGAGCTGTTCAGCAACTTCATGAGGGTGCATATAAACCTTGGATTGCTTGATGGTGACTTGCTCCGGCAGGCATTCAGGCATTTTATCAAGCTTAGCTACAAAATGGGTGCTCTGGAGTTCAACAATGTGCGCAACCTGGCTCGAAACTGCAACTGGCAATGATGGGCATAACTCATGCGGTGTGGGCATGTGACATGTAACAGTGCTGTCCTGTACATCCCATGTGCAAGTGACTTCCCATGTTTGCTCCTTTTTTGCATGTGTGACAGGCAAAGGCGTAGCATTACGAATATTGGCAAAGGCATGTTTGGCACCGTGATACTTCTCATCGCAGGTTATTTTGTATTTGGCAAAGGCGAGAGATTGCTGGTGCTCATGTTGAACCATTTTGTCCACTTCAAACCGAACAAACTGTGTGAGAGTATGCAACCAGCGGCTGGATGGCCAAATGGGTGCCGGTCCACATTCTGGAATTGCTTGGATCCATCGTGGAAATGGCATCTTGAAACACGTGCAATGCAGTATCTTTTTCCATTCTGTCTGCAACTCCTGCTGAGTGCGAAACCACACGCATCCTTCAGTTTCAACCTTTTTCATTCTCCTTTGCAAACTTTGGATCCTACGCAGCTGCTTGATACAGCGCTTAGTGGCTATGCAGAAAACTTCATTTTCGGGGTCATATTCGCCATTTCGTGCTGGTCTCAGCTGGGAAGTCAAAGATGTTTTTACTGGAGAACATGGCATGCATCTACCTCTGTATTTTTTGGGCAATTTTGATACCGGGAAAGTGCATGGTTTTGCATGTTGTATGGCCAAATCTACTGCAAATTCAACCTGTTTTCCCCACTCCTCCAGGGTTGTGGGTGCGTCACAGGTGGCAAGCAAAGGCATGACTTTTTGAATGTCCTCCTGGTCAACTCCAAGTCCAATCCAAGTCTTAGGCTGACGCAAAAACCTTGGTAAGGATGGGCTTTATTGGAAAGCAAAAAGACAAAGCAACCGGCCTATGCGTGGTGAACCAAGTGGCTTCCAACACGTTTATGTGTGTGAGAAACGGTCTAAGCTCCTTGGACAAAATGGCATTATCTGGTTTGGTGGCTTCTAAACAAGTATTGGGCATTACGTGTCCTGTCAAATCAAGATGGGCTTGAATCAGGTCTGTACATCCGAAATTCACAAAACTGTCCCAGTTGGGAAGAGTAGATGGCTCCAAATTGAAATCACCAGCTATGATGTACGGCAAGCCTATTAAAGTGACCCTCTGGAGTATCATCTGCAACATGGAGTCAGTGAATTCCTTAGATCCGGCATGGCTGGATGTGAGACCGTAAATACAAACCACCTGGACCAGCATGGGTCCCAAGTTGCAAACTGAATGACAGAAACGAGTGGAAGTAATCCAATCTTGCTCACGTGGGTTACGAGCTAGGCGGCAAGGCAATTGGGACATGATGGCGGTGCCACCTGCTCTGCCTCTTTTACTTTGTTCACCTGTGATTCGTGTGCTTTGGGCGGCCACGGGCGGTGACCACAAGCATGTAATATTCTTTGCTCTTGCTTGTTTCTGGAAACATTGCTGTGTGTGGTCTGTGGCGGATGTCTCGGATAGGCACAAAATGTGCAAGTTGGCTGATGCAAAAAGCTGGTCAATGGTATCAAATTTATGGAAAATACTGGTTGGGTTACAGATGCCCAAGTTAATAAACATTTCATCCCGAGGTGATTCAGGCCCTGGATTTTTGGCTTCGCCGAAACGGAATGCACATCCTAATCTCGGTCTCCAAGGTTGTGATAGCATAAAACTTAGGGATGCAAAAGTCTGTACAAAAATGGCAAATGGTTGGACGCTGGTCATCAAAATGGTTGCTCCTAAAGCAGGCGGTACAATGGCTGCGGCCCATTGGAGACTGGGTGGGGAATCAGTCTCAGCGATTCGCACTGTATTCCTACTGCTACACGTGGCAAGCCTATGACTGGCATGGGTGTGCAAAGCAAAATGCTCTTTAATTAATAAAGTCTTCCCTTTGGTTTGTCACGATCTCATTTCGGCATCTCCTGGCTCTGTTGTTTTGCGCTTCATGGAGGCATGCAACAGAGCTTTGATTTCATTCATTCCATGGTCAAACTGTTTTGTCTGTGCGCCCAAAGCTGCTGCGAACGAGTTGGTCAGCTCAGCTTTGACGCCATCGATTGCTTGGGTGACCGAAGCTTGCAATCGCTTCTCGGTTGTTTGGACTTCGGTTGTAATGGCAGACATGGTATGGGCTTGCTGCTGTTGGATGCTCTGGATTTCATTCAGTTTCTGCTCGAAGTCAGTTAGCTTCTCCTCTTGCTGCTGAAATCTGGCTTCAGTGGGGCCAGGTGTGGCGACAGCAGTGGGCTGTGAGCTATGCGCAGAGAATGGATTCATGGCTCGGTATGTTGCCCATGGGTCTGTGTTGGTGTTTGAATTCTTCTCTGTGACTCTTTTGTCAGCGGCTGGCAAACGTGGTCCGGCAACTATCATGGAAGTTTTGGCACTTTGTCGCGGTGGCAGCAAGGTGGCGAGGACAACCTGGCCGTTAAATGCCAATTGTGTGGAAGGTGGCGCTTCGCCCGTGCATACCAGCCATGCCCTTGGTCCAGTCGGCTTCATTGGTCGAAAGACCCACTTCACGTGCTTTCCCCATTCCAACAAAACTTGCGGGTTGGATCCAAATGGCAATGGCTCAAGCTTGTACACAAATGTTGAGGGGATATCTGGTGGGCAAGGTTCTGATGGGTGCAAATGTTTCCATGCTGACTCAAAGCTTGCTTTGGACAATCTGATGCCAAAGTTACTTCTTCCGCGTACAAGCCCGCAATTGCCTGACATGGTGGCTGACATAGCGGCTGCTTTCTGCAAGTCATCAACTGTAGCTGGTAGCCACAAAATGCGGAATTCATCGCTCAGGCGCCCGGATTCGAGCTTTGGTGCTGCCCAAACTTTGTTGAACCCGGTGAGGGTTAGCAACTTGAGGTAGTTCTCGGACTCAATAGAGGCATGGATTTGCATGCTCGTGGCATTGTCTGGTGTCGCCTGGGATCGCCCTGAGCGGAGGCTACGTCCCCAAAATGCGACAATGGCATGGACTCCTTGCGATGCAAAGATTTCACGGATGAACTGATTTGTTTGCGACAGAGCAGCACCCCATTCTTCTTTTGTCCAATCCTGTCTCCACAAGGTGAAAGCGACAACTTTGGAAATGTTGGCAGTGAAAGTGGTCTTCTCCCACTGTTTGGGAGCAAGCTTCTTTGCGCCAAATTGAACCAAAGTAGCACTAAGCAAGACATGCTGTTGCATTCGATCCCATCCTGGCACGACAACTTCCTGATGGTCAAGATCACACTTAACTGGCAATGGTCCTAGGATCAACATGCCTAACTCATCCGAGGAAAGTTGTTTGTTGCTGTGGAGCCAAGGCTTGGCCATGTCTGCATCAACCAAACAAACTCCGGTCATGCCACCACGGAAATCCGTGATCTGATTTGGATGTGAGCCATCTTCATTGAGAAAGCAAGAGCAATCAAGCTGATACTCGGCAGGATTGAGATACATGGTCTGTCGCTTTTTGTGCTTTGGCATCAGTGATTGGGCCTTTGTGGACCTGGTCTCAATTTTCGGCAAGTCAATGTTGCAGTCCAACAGCATCTGTTTGAACTTTTTCTTTCTGCTGTCCATCCGGCAAGGCAACTATGGGCATCAATGTTCTTTGTGGCACTTGGTCCAAAATCTTTTCGACATTTGAATGCACCCATCCCAGTTCAAATCCTTGAGACAAAAGGGATCCTGCAATGCTGTTTCTGATTTTCTGCTTAACTTGCCCTTTTGTTGAGCTGGGACCACCTCCTCCCCAAATTTCTTCGGATAAATGCAGCAACAATGGGTTGCCGGGCGAGGGTTCAAGTTCGGAAACGAAGCCGGATGCAAACTGTTTGGAACGATGGACAATTCGGATCGCTGAGAAATCTGTGCACGCCGATAATGCATACTGGAGAGCTTTGGCAAGTACCTCAGCTGAAACGGATGTATCCATGCGTCCTTTCCACAAAGGACGACCTCTCCATTTAAGGATGGTTTCTTGGCCATGTGAGACTGCAAAATTGTCGAGCAAAATTCGGGCAAACAAAACTGCGAAGACAGTCTTCATCACTTCAGGTGGTGCTGGGCATTTGGCACTGCATGGTCTGAAAAGGATTCGGTGATCTGTGTCCGTGCGCAGCTCACGCCCAAGGGTGTGGAGCACATCTTCTGTGAACACCGCTTTCAGAATTTCTTGGACAAAAGTCTTTGCCTGCAGGGTTGAGCTGTCACCTTGAATGAGAATAGCCCAGATATCATGGAATTGGTCATATTGAAACAAAACATTGCAAAGGGAAAGCGCGGCCAATGCAAACATAATGTCAACTGAAACCGATCCATGTTTGAGCTCATGTGGAAAAGCAATGTTCAGTTGGTGGAATCTTTGGCCAGTAGTGATTTCACCAAACACATCGAAACGAAACTGGGCATCTGTGGTGGCATCAATCTGTTTTCTCAGTGATTCAGTCTGATCAAGCAAATAGACGGTGATCGATCCGTCTTGGCAGCAAACAATGACCTTTTCTGCATTGTTGTAGGCATGTGCCCCAACAATCGGTAAAAGTTGAATGCCAAATGGTGAATCATGCTCGACTTGACATCTACCGCCCCAAAGTTGCACAATGTCTGCGTTGGACAAGGCTGCTGAGACGGCCAGAGTTCTTTCGACATCTGCACAATGGAAGCTGGCATTGATGACGGGTTGGAATTGCAAAGTTTCTGGGAAATACGAGATCTCATCCTCATGGTTGGTGGAGATAGAAATTGGTGATCCAACGTGAACATGACACAAATCGGTAAAAACAATCATGTCATGAAATCCAGCAAAATCCCACCATTGATTTTCTGGCAAAAATGCATTTCCACATGTGGCTAGGAAGTGAAGTAACTGATCAATCTCCTGACCTGACATTTGCCTCTGACCTGTTCGCGAAATGCAGTAAAATTCACTAGTCTCTTGAATTTGGCATGTGGACGCCCGCAAACGCTGATCTGCAATGGTTAGAAAAACCTCTTGGACGGATGCAGAGAACTTGGCTGGCTTGAACTTTCGCAATGCATTGGTCAAAAGCACGGCTGAGTGAAGCGTTGAGATTTGGTTCCCAAGATACTTCCAGGATTCTTCAACATTTTTTGGTAAAATGGCACTTCGCAGGGCACAGTGATGCAACAACACTTCGAGAGGGTGCCACCATCTATCCAGATCTTGATCACGGAAAAAATGGGCAAGGCATCCACGTGACTTCAACTCGTGCTCGCTGAATCTGTGCTGTCTGCCGTAAGAAGCCAAAAAAGCAGGGAGAGTATCACATTTTTGGTATCTCCGGGTTTCCAGTACCTGTTCCCTACTCAAAATTCTGTTGGTCTTCCATGGTGCAAAAAGAGGGTTGGCTAAGATTTGCATGGTCTCATCATCAATCCTCAGAGCTTGGTCCAGAGCCCAAGGCGGTGGCAAGATTGAATCAAATGTTTCAGGAGTATGCGTACCACCATTCGGCCACATTTGAAACGGAATCTGATCAATCATGGGGTCACTGCATCTTTCGAAAAGTGCAAGCCATCTGGGTCGTGAACATGGTGCATGTGCTTTGAGATCCAAGACTCTTGCCCACGCCAGTCGGTATCCAAGCATGGAAATAGTTCGAAGCACAAAAGGTTTATGCTCATGGCTTTGGAAAACAGCAACATTCTCAACCAAAATCAAGGAAGGTTGCAACCAACGAAGAAGACTAACACTCTCTGGAAAAAGCATTCCCTCGATTGATCCTAAGCCTGCACCTCGACCTGCCCTGGACCACGGCGGACACGGTGGAGAGAGACAGACAATGTCCGGATGCCACGCACCAATTGGCGCAATCCAATCCAAGCTTGTTGCATCTGCATGAATCATCATTGTGAAAACCCTGAAAAAGGTTTGTGGGAAGCTTCGTAAACCCATTGATGATTGGCGTGGACCTACTGGCGGCATGGAAGAGACATGTCTTCAAATCAAACTCTACTGAAATAGTCTGTGCATCAAGGTCATGAAAATCCTGCAAGTGTTGAATGGTTGAGGACCATCCACCGTATGCGCCAGCAAAAAGCTCCAGGATGTGAATCTTGGGGGAATCATTCTTAGTTACTGGCACAAGTGTGGTTTGGTCTGTCACTGCAAAATCCCACTGTGAATCACATGGAAACGGTGAATACGCCTTCAACAACCACATGTCAGGATAATGATGGTCTCGCACATCCCACAAAAGCATGATGTCATCAAGCTTGCGTTGCTCGTCCCATTGTATCCTGCTAGTCATTGCACTCATGGTTGAAGTTCCCAGTGGAACCATCATGTCTGCTGAAATCAAACCATTGGATTGTGAACTTGCATTGGTCACCAGGAGGTTCACCATTCCCTTTCCCAGATTGTCAAGCCCAATGTTTGAGGATCCTAAGGTTTCAATATCGCAGAGCAAGGAACGCCAAGAAGCCAAACGCCCTGGGTCCAGCCCCAAATGGTCCATTGCTGAAAATGCCATGGTTCAATTGGGTGTCTAGCAGGAACACACACCCCCGCCACGGGAAGGCTTGAACCTAAGGGGCTCCTGAAATAAGGCTATTTTGGGATGATCCCTCTTAGTAACCATGATTCCAATGAGGTCACAATGAGGCCACTATCATTTAGACAAGTAGAATCAAATAGATACAGTAGATGTATGTATGTTCATAGCATCTGAGCATATACCTCGCCATAACCATGAGTTGCAACATTATGTCATTCCCGACCTTCCAGCTAGCTAAAGGTAAGACCATGCAATAAGAGCCTGAAAGTAAAAGCTGCGGCCAACAATCTATAGGTCTGTCTGACACACGCACAAAGCACATGAGAAATAATTAGGCTGATAAACAGCGAGCAAATGCCAACACACGCATCTTTTTGCGCAATCTGGTGTAAATCACGGTGCCTGTACAAGTTGAAGAAGCTAGGTATATATGTACGTACGCACGTGGAGCCGTACACATGAACAATATGTCTGGTGTGTGTGTGTGCTTCCCGCTGCCATGTTTTGCAGCCGAACATGCCCTCTCTGTGCCATTTTTTCTCTTTTTTTTTAATGCCAGTGGCTCTATGTGGCTCTCTCCCTTCGGAGGTTACATCCCACCAAATCTGACCAGCATGCCCTGCAGCCAGTGAGCATTCTGTAGCAGTTTCGGCTCCTGACTTCTGATGGCTGTCTGCACCAGTTGGGACAAAAAGGGTGCCTTGCCCACATAGGCCGTAAGCTCCTGCTGAAAGACCAAGATCAAATCGCCCACCACGCCCACGGCTGCCTTGATCACTGGCAGCTGTGAAGTTTGATCCTCAGAGATCTCCTTGACCAACATGAGCACCGTATTCACATGCTCCTTGAAGAGATGTAACTTGCCGGATTCCTTCAACCCATGGATGATGCCCGAATATGCTTCAAGAACTCCCTCCCGTAAAAGGTTCAAGTAGTCCACCCACTCTTCATTGTCCGCTGGCCCATCTGCCAGCTTGGTGGAAGAAGCTTCCCGAAGCATCTGCACCACAGGCCCCAGGTACTTCTCAAAGTCACCAGTGATGGCCATGGCAATGTCACCAAAACAAGTCATGACAGATGCCTTGATCTTGCGATCCACGGCCGGGTTCTTCAAGTTGGTGTAGAGGATCTCCAAGATCATGTCACAGTAGCCCCCGATCTTTTTCTCCAGAGCTGTGCAAAGATCTCCCACCATTCTGGTGGTGGTCAAGCACACCTGCACCTCCTCGTAGTTTTGCAAGCCCACTGTCAAGTGAGGCGCGAAATGTGGCATAAAGCGATCAAAGCCTGAGCCAGCTGCATTGGCTAAGGCCACGACCAGCAGCAGAGCCTCCTCATGAAGCACCTGCGCGCCGCCCCGCACCTGTTGGTATGCTGAGATGACCTTTAGAGCCTCCTCCATGATCTTATCTGCCAAGGGAGCAATCTGATCCCGGAGTCTGGACACCAAACTGGTGAGCACACCACAAATGTAGCCTTGCAACTCACACTCGCGATCCATCGATTTGTAGGATTCCTGCAAGTGTTTCAACATCTCAGTGGTCAATGCCTGCATATGCCCCAAGCAGTCGTTGCCTGCCTTGCTCACTAAGACGCTCAAGGCGTTGTAGCCTGCCATCCGTAGCTGTCGCTCATCAGCATCCGGTCGTGCCACCACTTCCAGTAAGGCCATAGCGATGGCTGTGAAAAATTCCGACAAAGGCGTCGTGTCCGGATAGGGGACCGAATTTTGGGCCTCTGCCAGAACCTGAAACTCAAAGGACTCAATCGTAAGGAACAAATTGGACAGGCACCAACTGCTGCATAGTGGAATATTAATACACTCATCAAGGTATTGATAAATATTTTGACCAAAATGCATCAAAATGCACTGTAGCATGTCATCATATTGTGGGTATATATATATATATAATTATATATATATATACATACAGTATGTCAGTACGTCTTTTTAAGTGCAACCAAACGACCTGGACATTCCAACAAATGTTTGCGGAGACTCTTGGTACATCTCGAAGCTTCTCACAAAGCAAGGGCATGAGCTGCTTCACTGGCACAATGGTGGGATGGAATTGGGCAATGCGACCCAAAGTCCAGGCAATGGTGTCACCTAGCAGCCAAACTGCGATATGATGCAATGGACGATTGGGTATGATTGGGGGCATGTGTTCAGAACTAAAGCATTCAAATTTGCTGGATTTATCAAAAAGTTGGACCCCAAAAACATGTTTTAAAGTTTTCGCGTCTACAAAAAACATCCATTCCATCATATTCCATCAGAGTCACGCACTGCCACACTGGGGTCTTGAAGAGCCATGACCAAATGACTGAGGCTTTGCTCTACCATGGGTCGCATCTTCTCAGACGTTGGGCCCTCCATGATGGAGCCGTAAGCCAGCACCGCTGCTTCACGGTACTTCCAATCCTGGAGTTTTGGTGCTGAGGCCACCATAAAAGTTCCATAAGTGAGAAACCAAACAGTACTATATATAAACAATAGATAACAATAGTACTATGTACTATAGAGTCTATATATAGTAGCGGATTAGCCAATTTTTTGGGAGAAAAAAAAAATATCATCTTGAGCAAATCCCTGGATCCTGATTGGTAAAGTTGCCATTCACAAATTGCAGCACCAAATCCACACAGCCATCCCCAACCACCTGGGCCACCAGCGCAAGACAGGTGCCTGCAGCCATGGCCAAACTCCAGGTGTCGTCATCATCTTCACTTTGTCGCTTGGTCAGGGTCACGGTGAGCAAAGGCACCAAGTGTGGCAAGGCCTGTTGAATGAGATTCAAGGATACCCTGCCACCAGCTGGTTGCCCACTCTGGACCAAGTCCATGAGGTACAGCTCCTGACTAGCCGTGACTAGCCAAAATCATCATCCCATAGAATCCCCGGGCCCTAGTAGCATAGCTTTAGTTTCGGGGCTGAGAACTTGTTGAACATATTTCAACACTCTCCCAAACCTTCAACCTTCTCCCAAGAAAAGACAGCATGAAAACTAAGGATGGTGAATTCTTGCCAGGTTTCCTCGTCGCAAATGGTGGACCAGAATTCCATGGCAGGGATGGCCACCTTCTCCGGAGCAGATTTGATGGTCTCTAAGGTCAGCAAGCCCAAGTTGTTCATGTACGGCATGAGAAAATCGTAGTACTCCGTGGCGATTTGCACCAAGCACTCAAATGCTGCAATCTGTACTTCAGGAGCTGCCGTGAACATACAGGCATCATGCATTACGGACATGATGACGTCCCGCTCCACCTGGTTCCTGAAGTTCTTCTTGGCCAACACCACTGCGTGGTAGAAAGCCCTGGTCGCCTCTAATTTGGTGTTGGGTTCTGGGTCCCTCATACCCTGAACCACTGCTGTCAAGATATTATTGGCAATATCATCTGATATATTGCCACCCTCCTCCTGCACCAGCACCAGTTCTTCACACAAATAGCCCAGGCAAACCAATGAGATCTGCCTCGCTGCATTGTCCGTATTGGTGACATGTTGCAACAACAAGGGCACCAATCCTGGCCACTCATTGGGTGGAATCTCTATGGCCCCAATCTTGGCCAAGACTTGTGCTGCCGCCTTCCCCACATCCACTTGTGGAAAGACTAAGGCCGTGGTCGTGGCTTCCTTCACCAAGTTTCGACTGGGCGCAGGCAACGCCACCCATCTCTGCTTCAGTTCCCTGTCTCTGGCCAAGTCCTTGGCCGCTAGGCCGTTCTTCAACAACAGCCCTGCCAGCTGTCGAGCAACCACCGGCTTCTCGGGATTGGCTAACTCCTGGGCCAAGGCCGAGAAATATTGCTCCACATTGGCTTGTTCAGCCTGTTTGATCTGGGCCTCAGCTTGAGCATTTTTGCTGGGATCTTGAGTTGCCAAAAGCAACTCCGTCAAACTCATCGCGAGAGCTCGGCACCCATCCACCAGTTTGCCCGGCAGGGTGAGGCACGTCAAAATCACCCGGTGAGTGCTGTGGGTTGAGGTTAGAATCTATGGGTCTAAGTATCTTCACGCATATGTTGATGTCCAACATGTGCGGTACATGGTAACGAAATAGATGATATCTATATAGATGAATACTATATATATATAGATATATATAGCTAGATAGATAGATATATTGACATAGATATAGATATGTGTAAGTTCTTGTTTTGGAATCTGTTCAGGGACCTAGTTTTGTCTGCTTGTTCCCTAGCTGGCTTCGTTCAACTAGCGCAGTGCTATCAGCCAACGGATTGCAGATTGCAGAAGTGACCCAATCAGCACAGGCTCTTGAACATTGGCCTTCAAGAGTATCGTAATTACACCACAAGTAGTGAACACAGTGTGACCCTTTTTTGCACGGCATTTATGGTATTCCGGGCTCGTGCATTTCAGTCATTGCTGATTGCTTCAAATAGATGCACAGCCCGATGTATTTTGTACAATGGTCCGCTACTAAGGCCCTCACGATATTGAGCACTCCACATCAGGACTGGGAACGCAGCAGTTTGGAAGAACTCTGGCTTTGGTCCGCAACACTTAGGTGACACAACATGGTTTTCGCACGTTTTCACCGGGAAATGTGTGGCGATATTGCCGGAAACCAGCTTGTGAATTGTGCAGAGGGGCAACAACAAAAAAAAACACTCTGTTTTCTTGAGCGAACTGACCTATATGCTGACATATGATATCCCTAAGCTATGAGTCAAGACTCCCTCATAAGCCTCTGTCTGCACCAAATAAGTGGAATGTATTGAATATATGAATATATGATGGAATATGTTCATCCACCCGTTAAGCCAAGGTCCCATCAAGTGTCCAATGACCCACATTTTCCAACAGCATTCACTGGGCTATCAAGCTCTTCAAGCGCCATTCTCTTGCACAAGACCTGACCCAAAACTATCATTGACATATTATGATGCATCTCTTCAAAATTGGGAACTAATGGAAGGTTTCAACACATCTCTTTGGACAACCCAAATTCCCTTTGGTGCAGAATCAAGTGAAGAATCACAATAGAGTTGAAGGTTGTAGTGGGAAACTATTCCCAGCCTTGCCGATTGCATCTGCTGTTTTTTCCGGTTTCGGCGAGAAGAACACCTGAGAAAAGTCAGCCTGGCCAGCCTGGCCAGCTGAGGAGTTTACCAATGGCAGTGCACCCAAGGCATGGACGGTCTGCAAGCGTTGTTGGCCGTCGATTCGAACCTTTCAAGGCCGACCGCGGACAAGCTTCTCAAGCTGATGTAGCAAAAAAGCGTCAAAGAAATGGATACAAATGGATTACTTAAAGCATCTTACAGCTATCGTAGCATATCGTAGCTACGTAGCTAGCCATCTGAATCTGGGCAACCAAGCAAATAATATCACACAATGAAGCTAGTTGCATCCACTTTCAAGTTTTAACGCGCTGTGATGCAACTTGCTGCGGGCATGTTGGGCCAAGTTTTTTGACACTGGTAGACTCAGCTCAAAGATTTACAGGAACAGTTCGGTCTCCTGCAGGGCAATAAAGGTGCCTATCTACTTGAATCTACCTGGTAACATATGGCAACAATGCTCAGAATCGATCAAGGTCACGCAGTGCTGCTCACTACAGCGGCATGACATGTTCACTGTACATGGCACTGTCACTCTGCGACCAATTCCCTCACGAGAGGTGCATTGGGTTCCCCGGAAAATGACGTGGTGACGGTTGGGGCTCCCACACCTTGCCGAGGTCTGGTCGGTGTCTTATACCGTGACCTCCTCAGTCATCTTCCAAGTCCCCGTCTCCGGACCCAAGCTGGCGCACTTCTGCTTCATCTCAGCGAAGGGGCATTGGCACTTGTGGTGGCACTCCCTGTCACCACACTGCTGGTGGCAACGGTGGGATGCCTCCACCTTCTGGTTCAGCCAGGGCAGGTGGGGACGAGGGCAAAGGCGATGGCACTTGGAGTCGTGGTGGCATTTTTGGTGGCAGCCCATGATGTGAACCATCTCAGAGCAATCCTTGCGCAATTCCTTCCAGGCAGCTGAGCATTTGTCTGAGCAATCCTTGTCATGGCACTTCATTGCGCAAGTAATGAACTCCTCCGTGGATTGCTTGGGCTGGGATCCACGCAACATGGGGGCCACAGATTCTCGGTTGGAAACCTGCTCAGAGTTGTGAGAGCCCCCCTGATGGTGGAAGTCACCATGGCGGTGGAAGTCACCATTGTCACCGCCATGATGGAAGTCACCGTGGTGGTGGAAGTCACCATGGTCACCGCCATGATGGAAGTCACCGTGGTGGTGGAAGTCACCATGGTCACCGCCATGGTGGAAGCCACCATGGTGGAAGCCACCATGGTGGAAGTCACTACGGTTGTGGTGGTCACCGTGGTGGTGGTGGTGGTGGCCACCGTGGTGGTTGAAGTCACTGCCATGGCCGCCATGGTAGAAGTCGCTGTGATGGTGAAAGTCACCGCCGTTGAAAGGTTCCGCGGCCGGCTTCTCGAATTTGCTGCACATCTCCAGGAATTTCGTCACTGGGACGTTGCAGGAGTTGCGGCAGGCGAAGTCCGAACCGCACTTGGCATTGCACTGTATGATTCCCTTTACTCTGGCGGCCATCTTGGGGCATTCAGGCAGCGGGCAGCTGTCATGACATGCCATGTCCTCTCCACATTGCCTGTGGCATTTGATAATCTTGAAGCCTTCATCGCAGCGTTTCTTCATGCGCTCCATGGAATGAGGCGAGTGGCCATAGCCATGGTGCCTCATCGGAATGCCCTCGGTGAAGTCATCCGAGTCATCCTGCTGGATGTGCTTGTAATAGTGGCTGGCCACCATAAAACCACCAAGGCCAAGAAGGCTGGTGAGGAGCGCCACGAGTGAGCAGCTCAGATTCATGGCACCTTTCCAAAGTAAAAGTGCTGCGAAACTGAACCCAAATTCTGGAAACAAAGACGAAATCACAAGTCAGCTCAACGATGGATCAATGAAACGATGAAATGCACTCGTCGGTGGTGCAAACACGCATCATCACGCATCCATGTTTCTTTTTTTCTGGGATCAAAGGGGGTGAATCACGAGGTAATGATGTTTTTCAGCATATTTGAGACATGTCAGACATGCCAACGCCAACCAGTCATGGTTCTGGATTTGTGTGTACAGATCGTCTACATCTGCGAGCTTTTGCCTAGCTTTACAAGTAGTACTTGGGCAAGCCAGGGGCGGAAGTTTCACAGCATCAAGACCTGCAGTGCAAAAGAAAGAACGTCCCTGTGAACGACATCCTGAAAAAATGCAACAGCTCTCTCCTGTGACTTCTTTTTCTTCTCATCTCTTGCTCTTGGCATCTCTTTCTCATGTCAGCGCTTTCTCTTGACTCTTGACATTTCTTTCTTCGGAAACATGTTTCTCTTGACGGCTCTTGACTTCTCTTTCTCGTGACATCTCTTGTTTTTTGACTCCTGACTCTAGACAAACTCTTGACATCTCTTTCTTCTGAAATATCTTTCTCTTGACATCTCTTGATTCTTGATGTTGCTCACCTCTTCCTCTTCTCAACTCTTTCTCGTGACTTTGATTCCCCACCTGCCAGGTGAGGGTTGTTAGATTTTATGTCAGTTGCCTCCTCCTTCTCCTCCGCCTCCTCCTGCCTCGTCCTCCTCTCCTCCTCCTCCTCCTCGTCCTCCTTGTCATCCTTGTCGTCCTGCTCAACTGCGACTCGCGATCCACAGTGTTCTCTGCCGGACCTCCACCACGACCATCCACGCCCAGTGTTCCCTGCCGGACCTCAACCACGACCATCCACGCCCAGTGTTCCCTGCCGGACCTCAACCACGACCATCCACGCCCAGTGTTCCCTGCCGGACCTCAACCACGATCATCCCCGCCCAGTGTTCCTGCCGGACCTCAACCACGACCATCCACGCCCAGTGTTCCCTGCCGGACCTCAACCGCGAGTATCCACGCCAAGTGTTCCCTGCCGGACCTCATGTAGGAAGGTATGGGACAAAGAATGCGCAGAAGAAAGTTAGAAAGAATGTCAGAAAGAATGTCAGAAGATATGCCAGAAGATATGCCAGATAGAATGCCAAATAGAATGCCAGATAGAATGCCAGATAGAATGCCAGAAGATATGTCAGAATATATGACAGAAGATATGCCAGTTAGAATGCCAGATAATATGCCAGAAGATATGCCAGATAGAATGCCAGATAGAATGCCAGAAGATATGCCAGATAGAATGCCAGAAGATATGCCAGATAGAATGCCAGAAGATTTGCCAGATAGAATGCCAGAAGATAGAATGCCAGAAAATATGCCAGAAGATATGCCAGATAGAATGCCAGAAGATATGTCAGAATATATGCCAGAAAGATATGCCAGATAGAATGCCAGATAGAATGCCAGAAGATATGTCAGATAGAATGCCAGAAGATATGCCAGATAGAATGCCAGAAGATATGCCAGATAGAATGCCAGAAGATATGTCAGATAGAATGCCAGAAGATTTGCCAGTAAGAAAATGTAAAAATGTCACGGTGGGGATCACACGAAGTAAAGTAATTTTTCATAATTTTTCCTGGTATCTCTTTTTTGGGAAATCTCTTTCTGCTGACCTCTCTCGGAATAGAACAACGCACTTCGCTTCCAATGTGCAGCCGGTCCGAGCACCGGAGAATGATCTAAAACATTCTAAAACGGTTTCGCACCCTTCGGATCCCTTCGGAATATTGCAAACCAAACAATTTCGTGAATCTGCTATCTTTCGAGACTTCCTTCCAAGAAATGCAGGTTGATGTTCTGAAGACGCAGTCGTTCGAGGCCTCCTCCAAAAATTCGAACTTGATGACATGATGATGTGAAAAGATAACTTTCACTTTCGCGCAAGACTTCCTCCAAAAATTGACTCTGCTCTCTAGCCTACTCTACTCTTTTCTTCTCTTTTCTTCTCTTCTCTTCTCTGCTCTTCTATTGTCTTTCTCCTTCTCTACCCCACTCTTCTCTTCTTTGCTTTTACTCAACTCTTCTCTTCTCTTCTCTTTCTCTCTCTCTCTCTCTCTCTCTGCTCTTCTTAAATCTCCGCAACTCAGAAGTCTCTCCCCTAAACCTCCTCTGATCATTCGTTTGTTGGTCATGGCCATGGCCCATACACGTAAAAACAAAAAAAATAGCAGCAATGAAACATGATGACCAATACATATTTTAAAAATCAAGACAATTAATCCCAAATTGCCTGAGTATTGTACATCATATGCCTACCCAAATTGATCGCACATTTCAGGTCACCGACCTCCCGGTGCCTGTTTGAGTTCGAAGAGTCCTCCGTTGGCTGCCACAGGCCGCCCAGCTAACCTCCCAGCAACATCTCTAGGCCTCAAGGGAGGCAGCAGAAAAGGGAAACAGTAATTCAACTACACATAACGACACTGTACATTGGAAACATGTTTCGTTTAGGTGTGCTTTACACATATTCTACAGATGTATTGTTCCACGGACTTCAGACTGACTTGTCAAGTGCTTAGCGCAAATACTTGCGGGATCTCTTGCACTCTTCATGTGGCATGTGGAATCAACGTCAATCAAATATGTTCTGTTTATTCTACTAGATTCTTGTCACTGATTCCATTAAAATTGCCATGTGGATCCATGGCTGGATCCATTTGGATCGATCAAACAAGTGCCCGGCACAGTGTAGGTGACACAGTAGTTTCCACCATCCTGGGCGACTGGGACCGGAAAGCAACAACATGCAACAACCATTATAAACATGACTTGCTGAGCCAGGCACCACTTTCTCCAACGTATACGGGAGGTTCACGTCCTTCTCCTTCCAGTGTCAACATCGCAAAGAAGGTGTTTCTGGACCCGCGAGAACACAAACAAAAACACTGACCGGCTACAATCAGTCGCTTTAGATTTGACAGAGTTTTCACCAGAAAGGCTATGCTGAAAGGTATCATCTTGACTTAACAATCTTGGGCTAAGCAGTATCCTTGAGGTCCTGCCCACCATCAGCTTTTGGCAGTGGAGGGGGTGGCGGTGGATGCATTGGGCACCGCTTTATAGAAATTGATCGATTTATCCATAGGAGCAGGGTGTTTCCAGAGCTTGAATAGATGTATCCCAAACATCCCGCTCAACGCAAAATCACTGGTTAGACGTGGCAAAAACTGCTAGAAGTAGTAAATGCAGAAACAAACCTTGGACTCATGTGACATTTTGCTGGAGTATTCGCCTCCTTTCGGATCATACTGCCGAGTCTTAACCTCACTTT